CATGGGAGGCCAAGATCTCCTTCTGTGTGGGAGTGTAGTTGGCTTCAGATCCTTTGTAGCTTCTGCTCCAGAATCCCAGTGGTCAACCCCGAGTCTCACCAGGCACCTTCGGCCAAAGGCTCCAGGATAGACCATGGTTTCCAGCTGCAGAATAGAGCACGTTCTTCACCTCTGGTCCCGTCCTGACTGGGCCAAGGGCTACCACATGAGTGATCTCCTGCTTGATCTGGGTGAAGGCTTGCTGCTGCTCAGGGCCCCAGTGGAAATTGTTCTTGCGGGTAACCAGGTAAAGAGGGCTCACAATCTGACTGTATTCAGGAATGTGCATTCTCCAAAAGCCTATAGCACCTAGGAAAGCTTGTGTTTCCTTTTTTAGTTTCTGATGGCCCTCTTCAATTGAGCTCCGGACTTGATCCACCAGCCTTGTTTCCACGGATGAGACATGGGTACAAAATGGGGCTGTGACAGTGTCCTCATAAATTCTTAGTTTATTGGCCAAGACGCCTACCATATGCTCACCTTCCCGCCACTGCAGTGTTGCCAGGTAACGGGAATACATCTCTGGTCCAAGCCGTGCGAATCTCAACCACATTTGTGACGTGCACCGGACACAGTCTGGGCTCTTAGGAAATCTCTCATCTTCTGAGAAAATGATCTCCAGCACGGCCAAGTCCCTCAGGCATCGGATACCTTGTTCTATTGTGTTCCATTTTCCTTGATGCACCTGGAGATCTTCTTTACAAAGGCATCTGTCCTTCACACTTGTCAGTAGTCGCCACCAGAGGCTGGGGGTTTCTTGGGTTCTCCCAATCCCCTGGTCAATGACCACATCCCGGGACAGAGATCCCAGTTGCCTGGCCTCACTTCCATCCAGAATGGTGTCATTGGCTGCAGCGTCCCAGATGCGGAGCAGCCAGGTCAGGATGGACTCATTCGTCTGGTGGGTGAATTCCCTCCGCAGGTCACGCAGCTCACCCAGGGATAGAGAGTGAGTGATGATTTCTGGCTCTGTCTCGTCTGCTGGGTGTGAAGGTCCTGCCATGTCCTCATCAGTCACTATGCAGACTGATTTGCTCTTTGATTTCTTCTTCTGAACGGGCGCAACTGCTACTGGTCTAGGCTGTTCTGGTTCAGTGATGGTTTGTGTGAAGACGCTGTTGCTTTGCTTTTGGCTTTTTCCTCCTCTGTGGCAGTCTGCGCAGACACGGACGCTGTTGCTTTGCTTTTGGCTTTTTCCTCCTCTGTNCTGTTGCTTTGCTTTTGGCTTTTTCCTCCTCTGTGGCAGTCTGTGCAGACACGGACGAAGTTGATTTGTTTCTTTTTTCCTCTTCCTCAAGAATAGGCTGCAGTACACCATGTAGTGTTTTGTTTCTAAGCATGTTGGAGGCTGTGCAGAGGAGACAAAGCAGAACTAACAACAACATTATGGTATCCTTGGCATCCAGTGGGAACTTGACATTTCCAAAAACTGCTGTCAGGCCAGAAAGACGGGAAAAAAAAAAAAAAAAAAAAAAAAAAAAAAAAAAAAAAAAAAGAAAATACATTTCGTGGTGGGTTGACCCTACGGTTGGGTGCGATTGTTAAGGCCCCGGATGTAGCAACCTAGACTAGGACAAGCAAACAAAGTTGAGTATATATTCCGAATGATGTTCACTGCCTCAGAGGTTATCATGCAGTAGATATAATAGGCCAATAAAGCAATTTTTATATCATACCCTGGTCTACACAGGAGCATTACAGCCGACAGATAGTTCCCCATGTGTGGAAAAATATAGAGAGCAAGATATAAAACCCATGTAAGCATGCTGAGAATCATGGTGAATACAAAATTGTAATACTGACTTTTCTCAGTACCCTTTGTGCCCCACGTTGGGCGCCAATAAATGTATTGGTTTGAAAGCAAAACCAGTGAGAGGCTCCAAGTCAGTAATACAATTTAATAGGAAAAAAGAGAAAAAATAAAATACATGCAATAATACAAAAGAAAAACCACCGACAGAGTCAGAATACAACCTGACACCCTGTCAGTCAGGGTGTTAGTAGCAGTCCGTATAAATAGTGGCTGCAGTCCTCCTGGATGACAGATGTGATTCAGTTGAAGCGGTGCTCCTGTAGAAGGTGCAGCTTTCCTCCGAAGATCCAGCGATGATGTGGAAAAGGTCCGACTTTCCTCTGGGATCCAGTGGAAAGGGCTGCTTTTGAGTCCCAAACCCCAGTTTTTTATCTAGGTAGGAAAAGCTTGGCTCCTGCCCCTGGCTGGAGCATCTCCCAATGGGATGATGTAATCTTATCAATCACACAATACGACTTAATGGCCCATTAACAGAATATATCTTCTGGAGGAAGGATGAGTTGTGAAAAGATAATGATGATCATCCCCCTGATCTTATCAGATGGCACATGAGCAGAGGATATCTCCCACAGAGATAAGGATCACCCTCCCACATTTCAACAGATGTTGATAGAATACACATTTTTGCATTGTACCCCAGGACACATTTCTACTTGGAAAAAAAAAAAGGACTTTAAAGTAATGTATTCGCCCAATGAAAGATTATCTCACACACACACACACAAACGTGCAGCACTTGAAACAGTGCTCAATTCAAAGATCTTGAAAACCTCTTTCTTCAATTACTTAAGGTCATAGTTATGATTCTGTGATTTAGAAAAGCTCATTTATTATCTGAACATCTGCAGAAAAGTGCAGTTTCACACAAAGCTGCTATTTTATATAGTTCCTATATAAAAGTTTGAGGACTTTCAGGTTGGTTAAAGGAAAACATAACTCTTAGTCCTATGCAAATTACTCAACAACCTAACAGCAATAAGATTCAGCTAAAAAAAGAATATGCATTTGTGCATTCCTGGTGCCTGTCCAGCTTCAGGAGGGCTTTAGTTTCTGAATAGGATAACCCTTAGTGAACAGAAATTTACTTTTTTTTTGGTAGTCTGCATAATTGGAAGGTAAGTAAAATGCATTTTAACCAGATTACTTCAAAATATGCAATATTATACAACACAGCTCCAAGATGAATGCTAACCTCTCTATCCTTAAGCATATCTATATTCAAGAGAAATCAAAATGTTTTTTCTACATGCTACTTTGCCAACATTTTGCCTCTTCATAACCAGAGGTCCATTTTCATAGCATTTCAAACTTGGTTATTCATAGACATGCCTGCAATCACCAAATCAGGCCTTTTACCACACAAGACAATTCAACACAAGCTTGTATCAGTGGAACTATTAGGATGATATGGCTAAATAATTGTACCAATATCCTCCTGTGGCAGATAAAAATCAAGCTGGAATCTGTTTGAAGATTCCAGATATAAGGAAGAAAATGTTTGTGCTAGCAAAGACTATTTGATGCAGGGATTCATTTGCTGAGTGCACTACTGCCTATTCTGTATATATAATATGTGTGTGCTGACAGACCACAGTGACAGGTCCAACTAAAATGTGACATGAGCAACACAGCAGGAAGAAAACCTGAGACGTTATTATCAGATAGAGAATAAAATCCAGCCCAACAACATCAAACTGACACAGGGTAGAGAGGTTTGTGTGTGTAGAGTATGAATGTGAGAAGAATTCTTCACAAAGCAGAGGTCATAAGTTGCAAAAAGACTGATGAACTTTGGAGTGGGGGTCAGCTTAGACTCCGGTCTGCCCTAAAAAAGGTGAACACAGGCTGCTCCCTGTTTCATAGGTACACATGCTCTCCCTTACCCCCTAAAATTGCCAGTGGCAAGAAGGAAGGCAGGATGGCTAGGTGTTGGACAACACTAATCCTTCATGCTTTGTCCATTAGGTAATATAGTGCCATGCTCACATGGAGGTATGCCAAGCCCTCAGTACTACATTTTGAGACTATGTGATAACAGCACGAGCAGAGAAACCCTATGTCTGTGCGGGTCTTTATCGTACAAATTGCAAACAAGCTGTGTCAAACCTCCCTTCCAATAAATGGACTGCCATGAAAGGAAATGCTTAATATTTTAAAGAAGTTTGAAGTCAGACCAAACCCATGAATGAGACAAACAGATCAAGCACACATCCCAAGATTTTTCAAAAAGCATGTTATACAAGACGTGCTACATGCCAAAGGTGTACATGTAGATCTAAATTAGTAAAAATGGAGTTAAAACTGTAAACACTTAGGCTCACAGGTGAATTACTGGTTTAGTCAAAGACAACCAAGCAAACACTCAAGGAAACACAACAAATTTGTTAAAAATTGTTTTGGTTTTTAGGGTTTTGGTTATTTGTTTTTACTTCTGATCTAAATTTCCATAAAGAATTGTTTGGAATACTGTATGCCTTATGAATTTCCATTAACCCCAAAAGAAGTTTCTACTGCAAAATTTTCCTGAAAATGCTTTACACTCCTTAAAGATTATGCAATACTGATAAGTGACCCAGAAAAACATTCTGCAGCTATTATATGTGTTATATGTTATTGTTACCCTATCAATGCAAGGTCTAATTACAAACAGCCCAAGAATAAATATTAACCCAGCCTTCCCTTAGAAGGAACGTTATCAGCTTCACAATCCCATGGGATGTGCAGCACAAGAACACTGAAGTTTTTATTAACATTAAATGAAGTCTGAAGGGGAATCTTACTGTGATTTCAAATTTACAAAGTAACAGCTTGAGAAAGGCTTGGACATTTTCTGCAATACAGCCATGTGCCATCATCTCCTAGCACTGTTGAAATAATCATTCCAAGAATATGAGTGTATAGATCTCTACTGCTTTCTAGATTGATAGATGATTCAACAGAAAAAATTATCAGCTGATATTCAGTTAATTATAGGGTCCATCTGCAGAGCACACAGCCTGCTTTTCTCTCAACACAGCAGTTTTATTATTGACATTCTAGTAAAAGATTTTACACCTAACTGAGCACATAAAGCTTTCACCTAACACTGAGAACCATGAAAAAAAAAACCCAAACCCCCAAACACATCAGATTTACACAATATTCTTACTTTTAGCAGTTCAAAATAATGAAGACAGTGGTAAACAGGGGCAAGAAGGAGCCGGGGTAGAACATACTGAACAGCTTCTTTAAAGCCTTCACCTATCGACTAGAAACAAAATAAGATTCAGTCTTAAAACAATACATGTACTGAAGCAACAAGACAATGTAATTAAAATAGTAATATCAACAACATGTCTTATTCAAAGGCAATTTACCTGTAAATAAAATGCTGCTCCTGGCTTTGACAATTGACTTAGAAAATGATCATGAAACCCAGGTCGCAAAATATCTTGTGCATATGATTCGTATGGATCAAATGCAAGTTCCTAAAAAGAGATACAGAATAATTTTACAATCATAGAATCCCAAAATGGCTTATGTTGGAAGGGACTTTAAAGATCTTCTAGGTCCATCCCCGCTGCCATGGGCGGGCATGTCATCAATTTACAAAACTGATTTAACAGCTAAACTTCCATATTTCTTATGGAAAATACATATCCTACATAGGAGAGACTTTTCTCCATACTTTCCTCAAAACATCTACAGAGAAGAATCCATACTTCTTTGTGCACAGACTCATGGATTAAATCAGTCTAAAAGAGATATCTGGAAGTCAACGGGTCCAATTCTTTGTTCAAAGCAGTGCCCACCTTAGGGCCAAAGACAGATCATTAAAGCTGGCTGAGAATGCTCAGGGTCTCTCATCCTGTTGAGTTCTAACTCTGGGAACAGAGGCACCAAAACCTCTCTGGGCAGCCTATCCCAATGTTCAATTGTTCTCAATGCAAATTTCCAACCTCCCTTCCCCCAGTATCTACTCAGCATTAATCTTTTTGTTATTTTCACGTTCTCTCACTCATGTCACAGTTCTCAACCGAGAAGAATCAGCCTCGGCAATCCTCACACCTCCCTTCAGGTAACTAAAAAAAGCAGTAAGATCTACTTCAGCCTTCTCAAGAATCAACAAACCCAGCAGTCTCAACCCTCTTTGTGCATCGTGGGCCTCAACTCCTTAATCATCATGGCAACCTTCACTACGAGCCTATCTTGCCTATCCTGTACCAGAAAGGCCAAAACAAGACACAGTACACCAGATTTGATCTCAAGTTCTACACGGAACTGCCAGCTACACATTCCCTAATATAACCCAGGAGCTAGTTAGCCTTCACATTCGATCCCCAAGGATCTCCCAGCCCTGGAAAGCAGTGCTGCTCCTCAGTCAGGCAGCTGAGACATTGCATGGGGTCGTTTGCTCCCAGGTGCAGAATTTAATATTTGCCTTTACTCAACTGAGGCTCCCATACGTCCATTTCTCCAGCCTGCCAGGTCCCACAAGCAGCAGCTCTGTCCTCCTGTGCATCCCTCACAATTTGGCAGCACCTACCAACTAGAAGAAGTGACCTCCTTCCACACACAACACATACATTAAACAGTATCAAACCCTGAGGACTGCTGGCAACCATTGACCTCCAGGTGACCTTTGTGCTGCTGATAACAATCCTTCAAAAGCCTGACAGCTCAGTCAACTGCCCATGTTCCACAATTCAAACAGCTAGGCTGCATCTCACCCATGCTATGACAGACTGTGCTGAAGGCCTTGCTTAATTCAGGTAAGAGATAATAACTGCTCTTTCCTTCTTCCATGGACACAGCCATCACTCTGAAAGTAGTCAAGCTCGACAGCTGCAGTTTGTCATTTGGAAATTTGTGCTGGCTTTTGCCAACCACCTTCTAAAGCATTCACGTGGCTGGATGTGAAGTCCAGGAAGATTTGCTGGTCTTCTCAGGGACTGAGGAGAAGCTGACCAGCTTCTAGTTTGACAGGAACCTTCTCATCAGTGTTGTTGAGGTTTTTTTCACCTCCACTCTCTTAACTTTAAACAACCACTCTAAAAGCTGAGATTTAGAGACTAAAAAGATAAGAGCATTTTAAAAAATGGTCAATCTCTTCATCACAGTGGGGTTGGAAGAAGAGATCTCAAACTGAAGAAAGCCAGCTGGAACAGAGACCTAATTGCAAGTATTAAAACATGAATAGGAAAAAAAAACAACCAACAAAACAAAACCAAAAAAACCCCCAACCCCAAAATCCCCAACCCCATTCTCTTACCTCTGCCATATCTTCAAAACAGCTGCCTACTAGTGGGTGTGGACTACCTTCATCTGTCATTTCAACAGTGTCCTCTATATGACCTAGTAACTTCACACTAAGTTCATGGATGTCTGATATACGACTAAATATGTTTTCCACATCCTGCAACAAAAGACAAAAGTCAAACGTGCAAAGCTACTCTGTTCTGATGTGAAAGTCAAGAAGTTCCTTATATAGAACAAGCTTTCACAAGTGTTTTATAATATACTTTTTCTATGATTTATATAAGATCATAAAATGTATTTTAAAAATAATGAATATAAATAAATAAATATTTAAAATGTACATTATTGAAACATGGCAAAGAACAGTGACAGATCTTAAAATTACAGGCCTGCAAGTGAACATAAATAAATGAGAAGGTTTCTTCCACAGCCCTACAAAACCTGAAAATGCTCTTTTACCATTTCCATTTCAGAACTCAAGAAAAGTGCTTTCTCTGCTATTGATACATTAAACTCAACAACAGTTAAGATTCCAGAATTACCATCTGTATTTATAGATATTACAGTAGGTGCTTTTTGTGTTTGTGGTTTGTAAAATACTTACATGAGATGAAAACAGTTTGGAGTTGGAGGCATATGGCTCTCTAAAAACTCTGATAATGAGATTCAGTTCTCTTATATATTGCCGAATTTCTGCCATAAATGACTTCACTAGGTCATAATAGGTTTGCTCTCCTGAGGTGGAGGGTTCTTCATCAGATAAAGTTAGTGCACTTAAATCTTCTACATCTTGATGGAACATATCCATTAATACCTAGGTAGCAAAGAGAGGAAAATTCACAAAGAAAGAACCCCTTTTTGAGATTGACCAGTGAGTTACCAATAAAGAAAACCTATTATTCCCATGAAATCAGACTGATCAGCAGTAAGATTTATGTATTCTCATTCTGCAATCAGTTGAGCATTAAAAAAACAATATCCATTGCTATGAGTTTGCAAGTCATTATTTGCAGTGGCAATTTCTGAAGACTCCCAGTCACTTAGACCAATGCAGGCATCTCTCCAAGAACATGGTCCTAAAATCAATTACAATTTTAAAGGGTGAAGTACACAAAAACATTTAGCGTTTAGCTGTGTTCTATTGCTCTGAATCAGCAGTACACAACCAAGTTCCTGAATACTGTCTGAAGTTAAAAGGTGTGTGTATTTTGGCTTTTCAGCTTTAGCTTTACCAGGAAGTCACATGATTCTCAGAACCCTGTGATCTACCTGCAATGAACACTGGCCTGTCCACAGACTGTACATTGCCCAGTTTCTGCCCTTAACTGCTGAGCTCTCTTATTAAAATGAATCCTTGAGGAAGGGCACCAGCTACAGAAACCAGTCCTGTTGCAGAACTACATAGACAACAAGAACTCTAAACACTCTGACTAGTAGAGGTCCCAGTTCACACCCAAGCAATATTTACCAAATACAAGCAATCAGTAATTTAAAGTTCTCAACAAAATTGATCACTGCACACTTCTTCTAAATGTGGTGTGTGAGCCAGGAGCCATTAAAACGACAGTCTAAATGCAGAAAAATGCAGGACATTTTGCATTAAGCCTGACTTCTGAAGCTCTAAGAACAGAAGGTGATTCATGTTTCAGAGTCAGTGACTGTACATGGAATTCAGGTTAAAATGAGAACCCTAAATAATTCTGGGGAATGGGGCATTAGAGCATCACTACTGTAGGAAATTACACAGAATAATTCAAGTATTCAAGGAGACCTCAGCATTTCTAACTTTCATTCACAGGTCCAGTTCCTGCACACTGCTAGGAGATTCCAGGCTGTATTCATCAGGCCTATGTCTCACTTCTGAGGAAGATTGGGCTCAGATGCTAAGGAGATGGGGGTTTTGTTTGACCCACTGAAACATTACTTTTTATGTGCAATGCAGTCTTCAGTTAGTGCTGCTTAACAGTAATTTTTAAAGTATTCACATGTTGCTGACATTAGGCAGGTGCAATCAAGAGAAAGATTTAAGTATTAATAAGCACAAGTAAGAGCTTTATAAGCTCAGTTGGCTTTCTGGTAGTTTTTTTCCATTACTGGAACCATATTTTATGACACTAATTTCTTCTTAGAAGGTACAACACTCCATATACTTACTAAGAAAAAGACACTGTCCTCTCAAAATTACCTACAGCTTTAGTTGTTTGTTTACTTAACAAACGAGAGTTGGGCTTACCTTATCAGCACACATTGCTACTTTAATATCTTGTTTTGTAATCTCATAATGTCTTATATTCCGCACATAATTGCCAACCAGTTTTAGGATGTCTGCAGCAATGTATTCTAATACTGCTACTATGTAAACAGACACTTGGTGGTCAATTTTGTAGCCTAGAACTTCCTGAAAAGGAGAAAAAAAAAAAAAAAAAAAAAAAAAGCATTCCACTGTTACTCAGCTGATGAAACAGACACTCTAGATTACAACTCAAACCAGTAAGTAAGCTTAAGACCCTGCTCAATAAAGAGTCACCACATATACACAGCCTATTTTAGAAATAGAAACACAGGAGTGTGTAGGCATAGAGAAGAAACAGTGCCATTGTACAATGGGCTCTTCGTCTTGGTCCAAAACAGAACTGAGTGATTTTTAACTAAAAAATAAATACATTCCATTAACTGGGACACTTGGAACTATGCAACAAACACAGATATTCTTAATTCTTTTAGTTGTTAGTTCAGGCAGCACACATTACATGAAACAAAGGGGTTAACCTCTAACTGCATTCTGAAAGCAAGATTCCATCACTGCTTACCTTTAACAAGGGATGGATTTTTTCTACTGGAAGAGATAACGGATTCCTTCGTTTCCTCTTCTCAATAGCAGACTGGGCATCAGCTATTGCCCACTTATCAATAGGATGGGGGAAACTTTTTTGAACACGATCCTTAAGACAAGAAAACATGACCAAAGGGTAAATGCACCATCTGAATGATCTCAGCAGTATAACTGTGTTATCAAACTGCTTTCTATTACTTAACAAAGAAATGGTTGCTAATATTTGTAGTTCAACTATAAAAGCTTATACAAGATGTGTAAATGTTATCATTTTGGTACACCTTGCTCACCACATTCATAAGGCTGTTTCAGGGTATCATTATCAGAGAATTATCTATTTTGTGCTCAAAATTTAAGAATTAAGCTGCAATTGAAGGCACAGTTCACTCCCCTTGTGCCCATGCCTGGTACCTCAGCATTTGAATACCTGACTACATTTTCTCCTTGCACTTTATTCCCTGTATAGGATGGTCACTCAATGAAATGATAACAAGTTTTCTGTTTTACCTTTACTGATGAGCACATGGTCCAGCCTGTACACAAGCAAACTGCTCTGATGATGACAACAAACGTAACAGGAAAAGAAAATATCCAACAGCGCCCACATATTCTGAACCAGTTTCAGTCTACATGTGGGACAGACATGGCCCACTTGATTTAATCCTTTCAGCAGTGCTTGAGGACACCTCCACATTCCCATGCATGAATAACTCTCCTGCTGGAACTCACACACAGGTCTCTGGAGGTTCAAAAGCTTCACCATTTTTAGTATCCACAGATATCAGAAATTTATTTTCTCACACGACTTAATGTTTTATTTTTTCAGACCACAGTTCCCACTGATGTTTCAGTTGCAAGTGCTCAATTACATAAATATAGCTCCTGTTTGAGTAACCATGAAATGACGAAGATTAACTTAATGACCACTTACACAGAGCTGGTATAGGGAAAAAGTACACAAACAAAAACTTTCTAACAAAAAAAACCAAAAAAAACCCAAAAAACCAAAAAAACCCTATCTTTTCAAAGTGCAGGGTTTTTTTTTTCCCCATCATAACACATTGTCAAAAGGAAAGCAGAGGTCCTACCAAAAAAATGTCTGAATCACTGTCAATTCACACTCCTAGTCTGTTGACTGAACAATGAAATGGAAAACCAAATGTGTTTGACCACATAATTAAAAACATCATTATTGTACATGAACATCAAGGGGGTAAATGGTGGCTGTTTGATCATCTCTACTTTTTCCATTTCTCCTGTCTTCTTCTTGTATTATGAACCATAAGACTCATAATACAATACCTTGTGTCAAGTTTTTTTGTCAGCGTTGTTTAAAACAGAATTAAACAACCTTCCCCAAAGCTCTTGTCTCTTGAGCTGTCAGACCAAAATGATGTTGCAGAACAGGTTAGCCGTTAAAGGGGACACTGGAACACCACTGGAGGCATCAGTATTCAAAAGGGGAGAGGAAGAATGAAATTCATCAATCTTGAGCTCTAGGACGGCCACATTTTAAAGGTTTTTTTGTTAGTGAGGTTTTATTTGCCATTAGTCCACTTTCTTCAGAACATGAGGAAGTCACTTGCCACAGGTCCTGGCCCCAAGCACTGGAAATCAACAGGCTCAGAGCACACAGAGTCTGCAGCTTGGATTCTAAGTCTTTGAATCATGGTTAAGCACCAACTGCTACCAAGGTACTCATGGTCCTATGAGTCTAAGTGATACAGCTTCACTAATTTGTTCCTCAGATGGAAAAACTCTTCAGCTTAACCTCTCTTCATAAACATTAAGCTGCTCTGCTGAGCAGCAGAGGTTGTAGATCTTTGAAAAGGCAATGGTAAGAGATGAGGTCTCTGTACAAAGAAAAGAAGTGTTCCTAAACTCTTCCTGAAAGAGTAACTGAACTATTTTTGTTTTAATTTCTGGGCCAGCAGGGGATATATCAGTCTAAATAACCATGCTAAGAAAGCAGGACAGAGCCTCAGACTAAGCAGCTGTAGTTTGCATACAGTATCAATGGGGGAAAAATGTCTTTTGAAAGGAACCAGTCAGCTTTATATACAAAATTTACACTCAACATCTATTAAAAAATAATACAACTCACAGATAGTTTTGCTGTGCATTGAACAACAAATTCAATTGATAGGAAAATGAAATATTAGGGAACTTAAAAGGCTTTATGCAGAAGGCTCTGCTACATAAATATACATAATTACTGCTTTCCTTTTTGCATTGGGAAATAATTAATATTAATATAGCAGCTTTATGTAATAGTTCAAATTATTTGCAATAACATTCGTAATAAGTGTTCTCTATACCTCTACATCCAGAAAACTTCTTGGTTGAGCTTGACACAACATATTCAACAACTGAAGAATTAACTCCTCCACATACTGCAATGCATCTTCAGTAGAGGAAAGCTTAGGATGGACTTGCACCTGAACCTATAGGAAAGAGAAGAATTCAAGCTTTATGTTTTGTTCTTCCCCAAACCTGCTTTACCTGCAGGAAAAAAAAAAAACGACAAAACCCAAGCCAAACAGCCCAGAAAAGTACAATAATGTAGCTCTGTTAAGGTCCATCAGACAAGCCTGAGTGAAACACACCTGATGGAAATATGAATCTCAAAGGCTTTATGTACTCAAATCACTATAAATTATATTTAATGTCAAGAAAATGGTTAATTAATAACTGTGCTTAGCAGTGCAATTAGGAAAACTTTTAAAGCTCTTGCATATACTTATCTCGCTCCACTAGCTCTTTAACCACTGTTTTTACATGAGGTTTCAGCAGTGGGACTTTTCCCCCTTGCACACAATCTACAATAACGGAATACAGAACATTTTTCACAGAGCACACTACACAAAGAATGGTATCAGCAACATTTATTACTTCAAATTTTTTAATCCATTCTCAGTTAGCACTCATAAGATTGGCTTAGAAGTTTGTTTCCATAGTGTTGGGGTTTTTTTTTAATATGTCAGCTTCTACAGTAAAAAAAGCACTTCAAAAAAGGCCTCAGTGTTGTTCTGGCATTAAGTGCCAGCTGAGAGATTTTGGAAATTTGGTCCCAGTATGTTTACTTGTATGTCATAAGGGTGTTTAATTTCTTACTGGCACGAATTTAACAAGGGACAATCCCCCTTGCTCCTTCCATTTTTTTTCCAGATAATCGTGTAACTTCTGAAACCTGAGGCATACTTTTTCTTTGCACTTCTGCAGTTCACAAATTAAGACAGTTTTAACCATCCTAAATTTCAGGTACACAAAGCTCAGTGCTGCAGAGCTTAAACAGACAGTTTAATCTCAGTCCTATACCGATGGTAAATATTATGACAGAGCAAGCTGACTGCTGATTTTAGCAATGTATCTGTCAAGCCCCAATTTCTCCATTTTACTGTTCCCCTGCACACAACTCAAAATGCCTTCAGTTCTCTCAATCACTAACATGAGAGCCTAGCAACTCTGAAGCAAAACACAACGATCTGCCTCATCCAAATGTTAACCCATGTCTATATTCAAAAAATGCTGCCATAATTATTTAATTTCACACCTGAGCCTTAATTCCTGTTTGCAGTTATAGCAAGAACTAAATGTTATGAAGTTCAAGCACACAACAGCCTAAAACAGAAATCCACTTGCCTGCTAAGGCACTCATTAGTCTGAAAGCTTCATAACTGCATAGTGCTGGTGCTCACTTAACTGCTGTTGAGATTCAAATACGCTGGATCACGCGTTTGGCTTCTTGCAGATTGCACACCCTTACACAGCAGGTCTTAAACAACACCTCCAGAAGTCTTTTAAACTTTTTAAACTTAAAAGCAGTCTGGCAAAAATAGAACGGAAGAACTTCTCTCCATCTGACTAGCTAGCACAACTATTTTGATTATGCCAACAGTTTCACTTTTCCTAAGAACTTCGCTACCCACAGCTACTGTGTTTGTGGAACTACACGAATAACAGCATGCCAGGAAGTCCCAAACATTATTTACAATTCAAACACTGACATCTGAAATACTGTACCAGCTTGGAACACCTTAACACCAGAAATTAGACTTGCCAAAGCATTCTCTTAAAGAGCAGAGCTGATCTGAGCCGTCTGGAAGATGCTGCCTTTAATGTGTGCTTTTTTAAAAGCAGAACTGAACAAATTTGTATTACAATCTCCCTATATTATACTCCAGCACTTTCTATTTCAATAAGTGCTAAATTACCAAGTCAATTCAATAGTAAAAATACAGAGCATGATAAAGAAGTGATGAAGAGCAGCTCTACTTTCTCCTTTATTTAGAAAACAGACCAGACTTTAATAACCTCATTACAACTCCTTTAGTCTGCAACACAGAGCCTATAAGAATAAGAACAAACAAACAAAAATACCGCATCAGGCCATAACCTGAAAACTTAGCCACAGTCAGCCAAAACAGAGCCAACAATGATAACCTACTCCAACTTCAGGAGATAAAAGTTTCAGGCAAGTTCCCTAAGCATTTCTGTCCGAGGACAGTGATACCATCCTTCCCAAAGGCCATTGCCCGGCTCTACTTTAACAGAACACCCACCTTGGCAGAAGAAAACACCATTGAGTTGCCATTGGCTTGCCAGCACAGCTTATCTATATTAGGTAGATGGCAAATAACCTTCATTGCTACGTGACACTTAGTATCAGTGAGGGTTCAAAGTCATTAGAATAAACAAAAGAAAACAACCAGACTAACAAGGAAAAGTACAGCAGAGTTGGGTGCACAATTATCACAGAAATGCATAATTTCAATATCTGCACTACCGTAGTACCCAAAGGCTCAGACTGAGAATGATAATGTTATTTGAGGGTACTCAGTACAAGTCTCAAGTCCATTATCTAAGACATGATGCAAGGCCGGGTAAGATGCAATATTTAGTAAGAGAACACAAGAAATGGGAACATCTGTTAGCATAAATCATCACATGATTAGTTTCAAAAGAAAAAAACCCAAAAAGATTGAATTACCAGGGGCTTTCCCTCTTTCTTATACAGTCATGTCAGATTTTAAATTAACAAACCTGGGCCACCCTGCATTATCATCCTTGAAAAGGGGGAGTATGGCTTGAATCCCACCAGATCCTTCAGTCCTACTTAGAAAAACACAATAAAAACAGACTAACAACTTCTGTTGTGATGTTTAGATCACATTCTTATCGAAATATTTAACCTCTCCCTTAAATAATGACAGAATCATTCCCTTCCCTCCTATACACACAATAAAATGACTATCTTATGATAAGAAAAATTACTAAAAAAGCAGTTTAAAAACTTTTAAAAGAAGCTTAAAATTTTCAAAATATCCCAACAAATTCTAAAGTGCAAATACAACCTGCATCAGCTATAAATCCCTGCCACCATGGCTGTTTTCACTCAACTCATGTATTCATTTTTTTGAATATCCAATCTTCTCAATCTTTCCTAATTCTCGAAAGAGAAATGACCACAGTTTTCTTTAAATAAAGGTAAGCAGAACCAGCATTTCTTGAACAGCTTTTCAGGATCTGCTTAAGAACATGACTAGAGACAAACAGTGCCTGCTTAAAAAAAAACCCAAAAAACACTTAAAGAAAATCCTACAATAGGAACACTTGGTTTTTTTCTTCCCCTGCCTTTTTTGTCCTTTTCCTTTAAAATCCACAAAAAGCAAAGACTTTCTATCAGGAACAACAAAAGTTTAAAAATTAGGCAGGCATAAATCTAAACCAGCAGAAAAAGTCAATGAAACCAACAACAAAGAAGGAAGTGATTAAATGCATAATACAAATATAGCTGTTCTTTATTTTATAACCCATAGCAGCTCATTTTATATAAAGTCTTCTCACACCATTTTTCTTCAAACTCTCCATAATAAATTAGAATATAAACATTCCCACAGGCCTCATGGGAAGCAGTGGGAACTTTAAACTAAACCCTGAGAAACTTTTCATTTAAAGGACTGCAGATCGAACAGCTTCAGTTGAGACAGGGGCTTGGTCTCCCAACAGGTCCAACACAACAACCCCTAGGCTGGTCACAAGATGACCCAAACCCCAGTCTAGAGTGATACTCAACAGCTTGTTCTGCATTAGAAAGAGGTGTTTGATAATACGTAAGAAAGAAAGACACAGTGAATTTAACAATCTGAGTGATACTGAGTAATACATCCTCAGCAACAGTTTTCAGTTACCTCTTCCTCAGTGGCCTTGAGAAAAAGCCCAACAGGTTGCTTATAAGCCGAAAAATTTTAATTCAGGACAAAAAAAACCCTGTCTCCAGAGACTTCTTAAAGCAACTTTACGTTACATAAACACTATCTTTATGCTCCCAAATCATCATTAATAATCAACACAATCAGATTCACAGTTGTTCTGTTAAATACAGAACACACCAGACAAATCCTGCAGCTTCAGAAAACAATACCCAACCTGAGCCCATCAGGAGCAGAAGCTCCAGCAGCTTCAGAAAATAGCATAAAAAAGGAAACAATTCTAAAGGAATTCTAAAGGAAATAATTATAAAGCTACATAACAAACTGAAATAAAAAAGAAGTATCAACTGCAGGTTATAGACAATTTTTTCATAACTGGGCAAGACTACCCCTGTACTGGGATTCTGGCAAGAAGTCACAGTATGAACCGAAAAACAACTCCTGCTAAAGAACAACTGTACTTCAGTGCTGAGCATGGGCTGTGCTGCCAGTCTGCCCTGGTGGCAGCTGAAGGGCTTGTAAAAAAGGGTCTAAAGGGAAAAAAGCATCGTATTTATCACATCATACTGATCATGGAAGGAGCTTTGTGATGAGACAACATGCCAAGCCACCCTCCAAAGCATTATCAGAGAGCATAAAATTTAACTGACTATAAGTAGCTTTTTAAACTGAAAATTTTCTAAACCTTTGCTGTTCTACAATGGATTATTAGTAGAAATAATCCATTGTAGAAATAAATTTGGCAACAGAGGAGATAATTCTGACGAGAGTTTTCACTAATACTCTTAACTCCCATTTTTACTCAACATCTTTATTTTCCCTCAATGACTAAAAACTACTGACAAGCTTATCATTAAACACTCGAGGACAAAGTATTTTATGTACACCTTGCATGGATGAGTGTTCTTATAGAGTCAGCACTCCTTAAAAAGCTTTTCCTTCTATTCTTGTACATCTCTGCCAATATTTGGTAACCCTGATGGTGTTTTGGTACCTTGATCAATTAAAAATACAGTACATTAAATCAAATACAAATGCCTTGGATGCACTCTTCAGCAACAATTCACCAAGGATGCAGGACTTGAATTTTTGCTAACGTTTCTGCTGATGTCTCAGAAGGGCAGTAGTATTACACTGCTCCACTGAGCAGGTGAAAAAAAAACATGCAGTAAAGACGTGAACTGTAGAAGGTTCTTAGTTTTATCCTCTGCAGCCATCAGAAGAACAGAAGACCCAAAGTGATCAGAAATCAGGAAAGCTCTACATCTTGTGTGAAGCAATGCTACGAGTAAGAAGTGCCATTTTGAGTAGCAAGTGACAACTGGTTTGTCACCAATTTGAAGGCCAGGTTATTGAAAAGCAGGTAGAAATATATTCATCAGCAACAGTTTCCTGAGAACTCTGTAGTGATTGAAGCAGCTTCTCCCATGTCTTTTGCTCCATGAAAGGTCCAGATGACTGACCAGATGACACATGGAGTCCCTGAAAGCATGCTCTCTGGAACATTTTCCTTTACTGAGGAAGCAAATCCCTTCAGCTGTCAAGCCACACCAGTCAAATCATTCTGACCACAACAAATTCCAGCAGTACCCCTGAGTAATTGCTCTACTGATTCAAAACAACTTGAGGTATGCAAAGAGTAGAACATTCTTTTGTTTTTCTCTATTAACAAATGGCTTAAGGTATCCATCAGTAAGAATGACATGCTTCCTACTGCAAAAAACAATGGGTTAGGGAACAAGTGCATCATACACATGCACAGAAATTCTGACTCCGTGAACAAGTTATACCAACGAGATGAACCATAAGGAATGATGTTCCAGAAAAACTATCCAGAAGGTTATGATCAGAATAAAGTGTGCAAATTCACCAGCAGAAGAACACCAGTGCTGGAAAAGGCATCACATGGCAGGTGTCATTCCTGAGTCTCTTTTCTAACGTGGATTAAAAGCTGTGTATCTCTGTCTCCAGGTACCCGAGACCTCTGGTGTTTCAAATGTCTTGAATCCTTCATCTTCAGCATCTGACCTTCTGTCCATCCTTGCAACTACAATTTTCAGACACCTGTTGTTATTCTTTCTTCCTTCATTTTCTTGTACCTCATCACCATAAGTACTGCCTTTTGTCAGCAAACAAAGATGCAACACTCCTCTTTTGCAGCTTCAAAGTAACTGTGACCAGGCAGAGAAGAATCTCAGTTCACATAATTTTCTTCCTAACTGAGTGCACTGGAGCCTATCTTGACAGCATCTGAAGAAGAATCAGAAGAAAAGGGATTACATTAAGATCTCAATGGTACAAGAGCTGCTCTTTGCAAATGCAGCTGTTCAAAGCAAATACAGCTCTACTACTAAGGTTCATTCTAATGAAACACAAAGCATGGTCTCCTAAGAATTGCCTGATGTAAGAAGAGATTTATTCTTACTCTATAGTCTTGGGTTTGCTGCTTGATAAAAAATAGAATCAAAATAATCCACTGGGGAAAAGAAAGTTATCTGCAATGATTCAACAACACCCATTTTTTAAGAAAGCGATCCCGAGACTGTAGTTTGAGCTCTGCATTAGAAGCCAACTCACAGTTACAAAAGGGCAATGGCATTTTAATGATTCAGTCCACATGTGGCAGCTCTCCCCGAGAGCTGCAAACACTCCATCCTGGTGTATGTGCTCTTACAACGCTAACTTAAATGCCATTCTCCTCAATGGACCTATTAATTCAACACAGGTCTCCACAAACTACTAAGTCTAATTTCCAGCTATGCAGGAAATCATCACAGTTCTGCCTCTACAACCACCTGGTTTCAGGTGGAGTTCAGCTGCTATCACTACCTGAGAACGAGTAGCAGCACCTGCTCAGCTAAGGGAGAAGTGAAGGAAAGGTTCTCCTCTAGCAACAATGGGACAAACATGAGCTTCCAAAAATCTGACTCCTACTGAGATAGAAATGCTCTGGCAATTCAACAAAGTCACAAGGCACCAGTTTCCCTCCAGAACAGTCCAGCTCTTTGACCCCACTGGGAAATGCTGCCATTCTCTCCACTTTACCAGTCCCACGTCCTGGCCTGTAGGCGCAGCTCAGGTCTTTGGGGAGCTACCGAAGGGGGCACTGACTGCAATGCTGCAATGTTGCACCTGCCTTGTGAACCATGAGAGAGGATTATCAAGGCAAGTTCGTGGGTTTACTTTCCACCTGTAACATGTTCATTACTTTAGGAGCCTTTATCATGGCAAAACATCCTACTCAAAACTATCTGTACCTCTATTACATTAGGAAAATACATGACGCTGTTTCTCCATTAATGAAGAAGCCAATAAGAAAATAATTCAACATTTTCATCTGCCATTTAGTTTTCCTGTAACTCAAGTGTTTGGCTCTTCAGTAAAGCTGGTGGCAATCTGGACAGATTCTTTAATTCCATCTTTATAAAAACAGCAGTAGTAAGAAGAAAAACTTGAGAGAAGGTAAGAAACAGGTGGTGATCTCATGAAAAGCTGAGGTCAAAAGAGCCAACACCTGCCAGACAGTTACAAGTTTCAGTTTGAAGCCTTCAGAACTAATTCCATCTGCCTCCTGTCACCCTTCTACCCACAAAGAGAAACAGAGCAGATGACAACAAAAGCAAGACAACTATACCTTTGCAGGGCCAGTTCATCATCCTTGGTAGCTTGTCCTTACTGGCCTCCGCTGACCTCAGATTTCAGAATTCCTTTCCCCACTGCAGAATTCATCCAGCTCCTTCAGGAAGCATCTTTAATGCAAGGTGACTTCACGAATGGCTTGTCCACTGGGAACAAATCTGGCACTTCAGATGTCACAAGTTATTCCAAAGTTTAACGCTTGCTCGCTTTGACTCCTCACTCTTTGTACTCCAGCTGTCAGCACTGAGACTCCTTTCAAATCTGACAAACATTTGCTCCACCATGAAATAAACCCTCCAAAGGAACACGCTCTCTGTGGCTGGGACCTTGAGCAGCTCCAGTTTCCAAACAGGCTTCAGTTGGATGGGTGGCCAAGTACTTGTAAGCAGCACATGTGAACAGTGTGGTTAGTGCTAAAGCTTCAAGGAAACAACTATCCAGGGACAAGACATTAACAGCACGTGCTATGGATGAGACAAGCAAAAAGATTTCCAAGAACTGGACCAAGCCACACAGTGCTGGAGACCAAAGAGCATGCCCAGAGAAGAGAGGCAGTACATTGCAAGAGGAAATTAGGAAGAATGGGTAAAACTGCAGCACCCGAGACCTCTCAACCAGCCTTAGGAAGGAGCCTTTCAGGCAAAAGTTGCAGTTAATCACTGTAACTAGACAGTAACTTAGAAAATGTTGCCGTGCACGACTAAATCACGTGAAGTTCTGCAATCTGAAGCCACTTCAAATAACAGTGTCAGAAAACTTGTTTCTTAAGCCTTCTACTTTCTGGGTTCAGGCCGCAAAAGTGGAAGAGGAGCCCTCACCGTTTTTCCCTCTCTTCCGAATAAATTCTTTCCACGCCACAGGCACAAGCCTCACTATCCTGAGGGAGCAAGACTTGCTAGTTTGTCCTGATTAAGCCTTCTCAGCAAAAAAGTATTTAAACTAAAAGAAGTTTAACTAAAAGCCATTAGAAAAGAACACTAATTAATCAAAATTCTCTCAGGAGTCGCTCATAACAATCCCCCCCCTATTCCCGGTCGTGTCACCATGGACGACCAGCAGAAACCCGCAGCAGCACCACTTGCGACCCTCCGGGCCGAGGGGGGACGGGACTCACGTGTCCATCACACGGTTTTTATCTACACGGCTCCGTCTGTCAGAGCATCGCCCCGGCGCGGCTGCCGAGCCCCTCCGCGCCGGGGCACCCACCGAGGCAGCCGCTGGCGCTGCAGGACCGACCCCCGGCAGCTCCGGAGCCGTTTCCGGAGCGCGGATAGCCCCGGGCGGCCCCGCGGCCCGCCTAGCGTCCAGCCCGATCCCGCGGCCGGGTCCCCGGGACGTGGGCACCCGGCCGCCCCTCACCTTCTTGAGGGCGGGCACCAGCAGCCCCCGCCACTTGGGCGCGTTCTCCTCGCTGAAGAACTCGTAGAGCAGCGGCTGCGCCTGCATGGTGACACCGGGGCAGGCCGGGCGCCGCGCGGCAGGGCCGGCGGCGCTCAGCGGGAACCCCGGCGCTCCCCCGCCGCCAGCGGGGGCGGCAGGCCCGCAGCGGCGGGGGGGAACGGCAGCTGCCGCATTCCCCGCCCCGGCTCGCGGGGGTGGCCGAGGGAGCGGCAGGGGGGGCGCGCGGCGGGCCGGGGGTCGCGCGCGGGCCGCGAGGGGCGGGGTCGGAGCGCGAGCGCCGCCACCTCCCCGGTCCCGTCCTCGGCCGCTCCGTCGGCGGCCGCAGCGCATGCGCGGAGCGGCGACGCTCCGCACCTCCGGAGCCTGCGCCCCGCCACGCGCGGTCTCGGCCTTCCTGGCGGAAGTGACGCCTAAGGCGGGCCGGGTGCGCACGCTCCCTGCCGGCGGGAGTGTGAGTGGCCGCTCCCTGGGACCGCAGGTGACCCGTGATCTGGATGGATTGTTCTGAGATACACGGGGATCGGTTAGAACACACGGGAATGGATCGGTCTGAGTTAAGAACTGTCTGGATGGCCGGGCCCAGAGAGTGGTAGTGAACCGTGCTGCATCCAGCTGGCCGCCAGGCACAAGTGGTGTCCCTCAGGGACTGTGGGGGCCAGTTCTGTTCAATATTTTTATTGATGACATGGATGACGGTACTGAGTCTTCCATTAGTAAATGTCCAGACCACACTAAGCTGGGAGTGTGTGTTGATCTGCTGGAAGGTAGTAGGGCTCTGCAGAGAGACTTGGAATGGTTGGATGAATGGGCAGAGTCCAATAGGATGAGGTTTAATAAGTCCAAGTTCTGAGTCCTGCATTTTGGCCACAATAACCCCCTGCAGTGTTATAGGCTGGGTACAGTGTGGCTGGACAGTGCCCAGGCAAAAATGGACCTGCGGGTACTGGTTGACAGCCAGCAGTGTGCTCTCGTGGCCAAGAAGGCCAACGGCATCCTGGTCTGAATCAGGAATAGTGTGGCCAGCAGGACCAGGGAGATCATTCTACACCTGTACTTGGCACTGGTGAGGTCACACCTTGAGTGCTGTGTTTAGTTCTGGGCCTCTCAGTTTAGGAAGGACATTGAGATGCTTGAGCACGTCCAGAGGAGGGCAACAAGACTGATGAAGGGCTTGGAACACAAACCCTGTAAGGAATGGCTGAGGGAGCTGGGGTTGTTTAGCCTGGAGAAAAGGAGACTCAGGGGTGACCTTCTCACTCTCTGCAACTTCCTGAAAAGTGGTTGTAGCCAGTTGGGGGTTGGTCTCTTTCTCCAGACAGCAACTGGCAGAACAAGAGGACACAGTCTTAAGCTGCGTCAAGGGAAATACAGGTTGGCTATTAGGAAAAAGCTTTTTACAGAAAGGGTGATAAAGTATTGGAATTGTTTGCCTGCGGAGGTGGTGGTGTTACCATCTCTGGATGTGTTTAAAAAAAAGACTGGATGTGGCACTCAGTGCCATGGTCTAGTTGAGGTGTTGGGCTGGGTGGGAATTGATGATCTTGGAGGTCTCTTCCAGCCTTGTCATTCTGTGTGTGTGTGTGTGTGTGTGTGTGTGTGTGTATCTGTCTAGGACACAATAAGTTGGGTCTGCAGGGACACATAGGGATGGATTTGGCTGAGACAAGAGGTTGGACAAAAATTCCAGGAGGCCTTATTTGGATGGACAAGGAACTCCTGGACAAGCTCAGAGACTAAAAGGAAGCCTATGGAGAGTGGAAGCAGGACCTGTAGCCTGGCAGGAATAGAGGTTGTCTGAGCATCCAGGGATCAGCTTAGAGGAGATAAAGCTCTGAGAGAATTAAACATGGCCAAAAAAGCTTCTGCAGGTGTGTGGGTGATAAAAAGAACACTATGAAAAATGAAGACCCTCTCTGGAAGGAAAGAGGAGACCTGATTACCTGAGAGATGGCATAGGCCAAGGTATTTAGTGACTGTTCGCCCCTATCTGCACCAGGAAGTGCTCCAGCCACACTGCTGATTTGTAGAAGGGAAAGACAGGACCCTGGGAGTCTGACGAATTACCTGCTGGAGAAGATCAGATTTGTTCTGGTTTCACCGGGGGAAGGACAGACTTAGAAGTTTTTCTCTATGAGAACTTCTTCTGTGAGTTGATGGAACCAATTGAAGGTTGGTTTGGTTATTGACAGCCTGAGAAACTAATCGAAGAAAGTTAGTTTGCTCCGTGGAACCCTTCACTTCTCATCTTTGAGGCTGGAGAGCAGCATGGGAAAAGCAAAGCTCTCCTGATTATACCAATAATACAGTGGAAAGATGCCTACCCTAGCACAATGATCCCTTCTTCCCACATGCCAATACCCTGTTCTCTTTATTTTTAGCCCTTCCAGCTGCACCTCTGCATGCATGCTTGTACCAAAAATACCCAAGCAGAGTAAAAACCAATAGGCCTTAGCCTCTGGTGCCTTTAATTCAGCAATTAGCAATGACAAATTTGGCCCCAGCTGCTGCAGAACCTCCCTCAGGAGGAAGCACGTTCATAGCACATTAGCTGTAGTGCATTTTGTTATATTTGAGCGACTTTCTGCATGTCCAAGGGAGAAACAGTCCACAGGAGACAGGATGGAAATACCCCTTGGGGATTTCACAAGGGCGCTGTGAAACACACACAACTTCTCCACTTTTCTGAGAATTCAGCTGCTCAGCAATGGGGCTTGTGCCACCACCTCTCCCCCCACAGGGTGAGCTGAGGCTCAGGACGAGGAACAGCCAGGATGGGGGCAGCAGAAGCAGTGAGCTCAAGGCCCACAGGCAGAAAAATAAACCTGCTGAAAGGAAGAATAAGTCAGTTTTGCAATCAACAGAGATGGAAAAGCAGGAAATAGAGGGAAGAAACCACATAAGGTGGAATTTGGAAAGACTTAGCTCAAATCCACATATCCATTGCCCAAAGGGTATTGATGCCAACCGAAACTGAGTGGAGCTCCAGCAACCTCTGTTCATAAATTCAGAGACGCTCAGCTTCTGTATTTGGCACAACCATTTAATAGCAGAATTGAAAACTCAGTATGTTCCATTTTACTCTTATGTGGAAAATCAGTGCAGGTGATAATCTAATTGTACAACATGTTAAAAAATTTATTTTACATTATATACATTAGGGAACATATTTCAAAGCATTACCCATCACAACAATAATGCAAGCCATAAATCACTTTTAATTTAGTTTGGTTTTAGTGTATATTATCACAATAAAATATAAAGAACATATACAAAAAAAGGAGTCAAATGTGTGCACTTTACTTAAAACTTGGCATTTGCACACTCCATTGGAAAATAGCAATCAAAAATACTTCTGATCAAAACTAAATTCCCGTGATGCGTAGTAACCATTGTATTGTTTCAATGAGGTAGTAACTAAATTTTGGCCATGTGTTAGCATCCTAAAATCAAGAGAAGTGTGAAAATGGTTTTAAGGCCAAAAAAAAGTCAAAAATGGCAACACCTCTGAGCCATTTCCACAATGTGGAATGTTGCTCCTTTTCATTGTGATATGGAACTATTTAGCAAGACAAACAGTAATAACTACTTTTTATCACTGTATACACTAATAATCCAAACACCTATTGCAGAATTCAGACAGGTACCACTAGTCTGGACTGACACCCATCTGTAAGGTATTGTTTTCAAGCATAGAGAAGTAATCATAAGGAAAGTTTTAATTAAATATAAAAATAAAGGTGTTTAACTGGTTGGTTTCACAAAGAAATCTAACCAAATAAACAAAAAAAAAAGGAACTTTGAAGCCCAATTCATATCCACAAAGTCACAGCTAACCTTTGTGACTAAATACATCACATCTCAATACATTGTGCAAACATGAACACCAGTGTGTTGTATTGAAATTAAAACAAGATTGTAATCTGATTACAGCCTTGGTTACAATTTCTAAAAGTTAATATTTATTTGTATTAGTAAATTACATATAATAAAATACAATAGTATTGCTAAATGTACTGTATTTGTTGCTAGAATCCCACTTCATAATAAACACATGAGACATCCTTATAATAGTAGCCCAATTTAATTTTTGCATCCTCAGTGACTTTTACATCTGTACAGGTAAGACACTTGTACTTAACAGGAGGACCTCTATCTACAGAAAGTCAGTGTTGGGCTTCAGCGAGAAGTTTCACTGAAAAATACTGAATATGTACAAAGATTACATAAAAGTAAATTAAGCACTTCTGTGGAATTATAATGCTTCTGTGTCCATACCACAAACAGTTCTTGTCTTCCTCTCATGCCATAATAAATTATAAAGTAACTGAAATGGGGTTACTGCAGCTTTTGTGCAATTCCAGCCAGTCACGAGTGCTGTTGCAGCAGGAATGTTCTCCTCACAGTGAGCTGCCTGCCATGTGCTGTTCTCAGTAGCTGTTTTCATGCCCTGCCAGGATATACAAATTGCTGTTGGCTGTCGGGTTGTCCGTCGGCCTGCTCTCCAGCACCACGACCCTGAAATGGAAATTTAAAAAGCCACAATGTCAAGTGATCCTTAATTTAAAAACAACCCTGGGTATAATTAAATATTCTTTCATAAGATCCATCTGACTGGTTTGTCATTTCTCTTTTCCTAAGATGCCTTTAGTCCAAAAGCCCCTCGAACCAATGCCAACCTCAAAGTAAGCTCACAGTCTTGTCCACACAAGGTCTCCAAGGATCTCCCACAGCCTCTCTGGGTTCCTGCTACAGTGTTGAACCACTCTCACCATCATGTTTATCCCTTTTATCCATCTGGGAATTCCCTTGCTGCAATCCTGTATCCCTGTTGATGAAGGCTTCTGAAAAGGGCCCATCACTCCCCTCCTGGGCCTGTGCTTTCCTGGAGCTTTGCAAAGTGAACCCATTCATTAGGCTCCAGTTCTGAGATTTGTTAGTCTGCCCCTTGCCATAGGAACAACAGATGAACAAAGCTGATTCTTCTGTGAGCACTTCTAGTTAATCCCCAAGTCCATGTAACCTAATCCACAGAAACTTCCTCCAGCTCTGAAAGTCCCAGAGCCAAATGTTTACAGGCAAAGAGAATCCTAAGGAAGGAACTGCTATGTGAAGAGTATTTTCTCTTATTTCTTCTTGCCACCCACTTTTGGTCAGCATTGGAGACAAGAGACTGGGTTACATGGGCCTGCAACTGCAAAGATCATAAGGGATGTCCTAGATCAGACCTTTCTCGTCAAAGAAGAGAAATTAGCCGTCACAATTTTGTTTCACAAACTATTTACAATTTTTTCATCAGACAAGAACTGCTAAAACTGCCAAACAGACCAGGATGTTCGTGATTTACTTCTCCTCCACAAACATCCTGAAGTGAAGGCAGGGTGTGTGAAACTCAAATCCATCTCTTGTGCATTCTGACAGGAAAGGTTGCTTGCTGGAAAACTATGGTTCAAAAAACCTGACCTCTACTCAATGTGCACCTCAAAAGGAATGACACCTCATGCCATGAGGCAGCTCCCTGCTCATGAGGAGAAAGCATCACACAAGCTTTTATTAGTAGACTGACATCAGGATTTTGCTTCTCAGAACACCAGTTCCTATGAACTGCCTAGGAAAGGACTCGTAGAAAAAGGCTTCACAGCTCAAGCACAAAACAGGACAGAGCAGCAATGTATACGAAGAATGTATACGAAGAAATTGGAATTGATGTTTTTTGCAGTGCCAAGTCTTTAAAGATTCTCTTAGACTTGAGAAACTATCAGAGCAAGCCAGAAATAGATGTGACTGTATTTGGGGAAGAGGGCATTTTCACAAGGCAATTTTTTGCAATGTTTTTCTAAGATAGCACATGGGTTTACTGCAAGTAGTGTAAGACAGAGGCAATTCTCAAAAGTTAAAGCCTATCTTTGCAGTTCTTGTGAATTCATTACTGGTGAAACTGTCACATCAGCATGCACTCCCTCTAAAGACAAAACTGCTGCTGCTTCTGTGGGTCTTACAGAAGTACAAAGTTCAACACCAGGGCAGAGAAAGTTGAGGAAGTCAGTGACACTCCTAAAACAGCAGTTGGGTCACATAGGGTGTTGCTGTCCTGAAAGCAGATGCCAAAGAATAGCTACCCTGGGAACTATCAAGAGCTTTTACAAGACCTGAACTGCCATGTTGAGAGAACAACTGGTAGATTTTCTTTCTGTGAATGAAAGTGAGATATCTAAATTTTTAGATTTTTTTGCATTTATCTCCAGAAGCAGATCTTGATCGAACTACTGCAGCAAAACATCTGAAAGTAAAGATTTCACCAAGTTAAACGAAAGAATTACAATACAAAAAGGAAAACACTCCTGGAGATTGTGACTGCGGCCAAGTCTGAGTACTTCAGAAAGTGGAAGCCCACTTTCATAAGATTTTTTTTTTTTAATATAAGAAAGAGAAAAGTAAAAGCAAAGGACTGGAAGATAGACATGTACACAAAGGAATGTCTAAGATGCCTAATAAAGAATTTGCAAGAAATACGCAAAAAGAACTTTTACACGGTAGGAGAACACACATTATTCCTTTATTTTAGTATGTCCTGTTTACTTCTCATCTTACCTGTCAGATCCCAGAAGCCTGAATATCCTTGTATTATCGGAAATTTCTTGTGTGATCTAGACAATAAAAATAAATATTTACATGTTAAGAACACAAGTGTTTTCATTTTCTTTTTAACATCAGTCAAGAGGAAAGAATTGACTGTGACTGATGTTACCGACTGCCAATTAAAATTCAATATAGATTATAATGTAACTGTCACTTTTAACTAAGATAGAAAAGTTTTCTGCAATTCCTCCCACATTACATGAATTTCTCTGGTAGTAACTACAAGCACAACAGTGGGGCTCAGCTTGGTACTTGAGTTACCAGTGCAATTCTCTTTACAGCCGTGGCTGAAAAGATGGGGTGCAATTAGTGTCACTCTAGAGTGGATATCCAAAAACGGGTCAGGAAAGTCACACATAAACCACATTTTTTTAAATGCTGAATTATAGTAAGAATGCACTAAGTTCATATTCTGAAAACCTTACCAGAAAAACATAATCTTAATCTTAGTGGTACTTATGTCCACTGCAAAAAGAAAATTTCATCTTTTGACTTTTCAGGTAAGTGCAAAAGACCTGTGTGTTCTGTTGGTGAATTGTACTTGAGTGATACATCTTTATGATCATATGAATATCAGAGCACCCAAAAAACCACCATATTCATCAATAAAGTCAACCAAAGCCCAGTACACACGCCAAAGAGTATTTAGTCACTTTGTGAACAGGCAGCACTGTTTACAAAGCTCCCCTTCTACACAGCTAAATTTCACACTCTTGGGGAAAGTAGATATTCTTATCTCCTTCCCAGATCCTAGTAATGTTAGCTGACTTAGTGAATTCACTTCTGGTGCAGAGAACTGTCATGAGAATTTTAATTCATAGCAATAAAATCCTTAACTTTCCTAAGAAAATTAATTTCTGCTTTCTGTGAGGCTAAGGCAGTACAATCATTGTCCAAATTTTGAGCTTCTTGTGTCAGAATTCACAGCTCCCTTTCATTTTTCACACTAGATCAAACCACTGTGGAAGGTCACAGTTGTGGAAGGAAATAACTTAGCAAGCAGCTCAAGTCATCTTCAATTAGGCCAACTGTATTAGAATAGGGAATCTGAACAAACAATGTCTTCAAAGAAAAAAATTGCTGCAAATTAAGTCAGTCAGCTTTTTGTCCCATGCAACAACTTCCTACCTATTATGTAGTATAAAATTCCCCATAAGTAACAAATATGGTCAAGTCCTGAGCCTGGCACTGAAGGCTTTTCATATTACAGCAGAAAATAGGTTTATTTCTTTTAAAAGCTGCAGCTAGTGGGACAGCCAGAAGAAATAAAAAATTTTAAAAGGTCCAAAAGCTTACCCTAGACATGTTCTACAGGGAAAAAGTTTTAGGTGGGTTGCTTTCTGTCAACAGCCCAGTTCTGCTTTCAGTTCTTCCTTTAGGTTCTGACTTTGGCTTCACAGCAACAAAGCAAGTCAGTGTCCTCGAGACTTTACATAAACAACAAAATGCATGCATTTGGGCTGCAGCACCCTCGGACATGGCCTCTCCCAGCTGGAGCAGAGCCACTAAGTACCAATGAGTAGAGCAATGCACAAATGCCACAAAAAAACCTTTGCACCTTGGAAATAAGAAGCACTTTGACTCCAGTCTTTGATTGACACAGAGCAGGCTCACTGTTAGCACAGACTTGCAAAGGCTTTGTGCAAGTCAATGTAGTGGTGGAACAACTATCTATATCTATATCTAAGCTTGGCATGGTGCGATTCTGTGTGTACCTTAAAATACAATCAGTCACAATGAGTTCAATTTTTCACCCAGTGAAACACTCATGGAACAACTGGTAAAGTCTGTAAATATTCATTAATAACCAAATTAAAAGACTCATTAAATTCCTACAAAATACAGCATTTTCACTAACAGGTACACAAGGTTTGCAGCAAGGGGAAAAAACCTATTTGAGAAGGCAGTTATAATGGTTTAACTCCATCTATAAATCACATCAAATGGGCTAAAAAGGGACTACAAGGAGATTTTAGGAAAAAAACCAAACAAAACATGTTTAGGTCAATCTGGTATTTTTCTACTGAAGATGGAAAATATTTCTAGTGAAAGCTGGGCAATTCTTCAATGTATTTGTAAGCCAAAAGAACATGGAAGAGACTAAAAAACATCAGGCAACTCATTTGACACTGTGACAAAAAGTTAAAGTTTAGCAGTGGAACCACTGGCAAAGCCCAATTTTTTGCATCCATATGTGAGATGCTAAGAACCTGACAGTGGTCTTCAAAGCAATTTAAGGTGAAGATTAATATTACCAAGAATTAGGCCTGGATATTTTCTATGGCATTCTGGCCTGGTCTCTTGTTTCTGCTTTGCTTGTTAGAATTGAGGGGGTTCTCAGCTGGGTACAGCTCCACTAATGCTTTATAGCTAATGAAACAAGCTTAGAATGAGGCTCCACCTTCTAGGTCTAACCTAGGAAGTTACTGATCTGTTTCACTCCTTTTTAGACAACAGCATTGTGCATTTCTCCTCCACATGGCTTACATTAGAAGCCAGAATTTGAAGTACAATGTAGTACTCACCTCATTTGATCTAAAACTCCTTCCTTGCATGCCGTGTTTCCAGAATGCTAACACACTGTCCTGTAGACAGACTAGTAAGAAAGAACACTGGAATCAGTTTTGAGACGTAAACTCAACTCTTACTTTTAAGGCCAAAGGCAAAAGATTGTAGTTTTGAAATCTATACATATATGTTCCATTGTATGATATCCACCCACTCAGACTGTGGAATGTCTCCCAGGAATCACTGAACTTGCCTCAAAATCAACTGCATTTATACATTTATTTGTTTAATGAGCAGGGTTTGAAAACATTTCCACCTAACCAGAAAGTGTTCTAAATGTCTAGTACTAAATGTGTCATTTTCTTTGAACAGGAAATCCCTTTATACTTGAAGACAATATATATGGAATTTTAACAGAAAAGTTCCAGGAATGTCTTTGGAGACACTTCCAAGACAGTGTAAGTATAGGCCACTGGAAGTTAATTTGTGGCAAGCAGGGCGAGGACTACAGTAAATGCAGAGGTCCTAGAGCGAGAAGCTTCAAGTACATTGAACCCTTCCTTCCCCCCATTTCCAACCATCAAGAGCCATAGAAGTATTATTTTCAGTGGCATTGTTTCTTGTCCTCTTCTCTGAGGAAGGTTATCTTTGGAGGGCCTGAAACTTTAAAGCTTCTCCTCAGAAATAAACTCCCTGCAACTCCTGATAATTTTAGAACTCACTGTTCCTCCTCTTCTGGTGCTACCCTTCATCTGTGCATAAATCTCTCCTACCCCTCTTTCAATAGCAGGTGGTGCAATCCAGGTATGTAACTACTGGAGAATCGCCAAAATAGTCTATTCCTTCTGTTTCACAAATTTAATTAATTCAAATTCTACACAAGGAAACAACATTTATACAACCTGTGACATAGCATGTAATTTAGTCTTTGAGCTGCTGCATAAAAATGGACTGCACAAACACACATGCAAAATGAGTTAGGCATGAATGATTCAGAGAGTTTATGTAGGTTGTGTTAAAGTATTCCTTTAGAGGCTAGAAGTCTCCATCATATTCCCAAGACATTTAGTTTAATCCAAGAAGACTCCAAGATTATTACTCCATTTCAATTGCTCTTAGGAAAGTCCATGCTGAACCTTTCACTGAGTCTTCTCGCACAAAGTGAAATGAGTGAGGTAATGTTCCAAATGCCAAAGACTAGACAGATAGCATACCTAATTCTTTACTCTAACATTGGACAAGTTAATCATAGACGATCTGAAGTTGGAAGGGACCTAAGGATCACTTAGAGCACCTTCCAGATGCTGCATGAGCTCTGACTGGCTTGGTCCTGTGACCACTTCTCTGGGGAGCTCAGTCTAGTTATCCATCACCCTCTGAGTGAAATGCATTTTCCTAATATCCAACCTGAATTCTCCCATATACAACTTCATATAATTTCCATGTCCTTACTGCTGTTCATGACTTTTTGGCTGCCAGAGCACACTGTTGACTCATCTTCAGCTTGCTATCAATCCCAACCCCCAGAGCTGCTCTTCAGCCTCTCATCCCCCAGTTTGTACATTTAAGTGGGACTACCTCATCAGATGCAGAACCTGCCAATTGCTCTTGTTAAATTTCATCCAGATGGTGATTGCCCAACTTTCTGACTTACAGGGATATTCAAGACTAATAATAAAACCCAGCTTACCTATTGATTCAATCTGAAAGTCAAACGTGAGCTCGGACGACAGTTTGCGGCTGGATTTTAACCTGCCTTGCAGGTTCACTATTTTTATGCAGCCTAGACAATAAATAAAGATATGTTAACCAAGGATTATCTTCAATATAGAACCTAATTTGCATGCAGTGTGCATGTACATGCATACATATATATTTAGTTGATATTAAACTTACAATCCAAACACACCAAAATGGTATCTCTCTCCAGCTGTGTTACATGGACAACACTCGTCTCTGTAGTGTCTATAAAAAAATGACAGTGTTAGTTCATAACATAAATTAACATGAAATTTGAAATGGAAGCTCTAGAGATTGAGACATTCTGATGGGTTAGTGTGTTTTATCTGCTTTAAATCATCATCTTACCAGTGACATTACTCTTCTCTTAGAGATGCATGTCCACTTATCTCCGACATGTTGGCTGTGACAGGAAAACTGAAGCTCTAATATTAAAACATAGATTTCATTCAGCCTTTTCTGAGCCATGTCACAAAAGCAAATTGACATGTACATTGTTCTCCATTTATTCTCTGTTGCTGCAATTGAATATTACTGTTGCAAAAAGGCAGATATATGTGACTGTCCACACTATGTTGTTTCACTGCACTTTTCTTCCGGTTTTATTTCTCAATCCTGATAAAGATTTATTACTTAATTCTTGCTGCTATTTGCAGATGTTCCATCCCCAGATGTTCCAAAAATAGGGGCTTATTTCCTTCTCCAAAACCTCAAAAGAAGGGCTATTTTCTTCTCTTCTGGGTTACAGCTGAAGCAGTCTCCATCACAGCAAATGGGAATTTGACCCACAAATGATTAGTGGACATGTCAGCTCTAAAGAGAAGTGTAGTTTTTGTCCATTTGTTTGTTAACATTAAAGCTACATACAAAGCAGCTCTTACTATTTCAACATTACTGCCAGATTCTGTAGGCATCTTTCATATAGCAAAGAGAAACTCATTAAATCCATTAGACATGAGAAATTAGAGCACATTACCTAGAACACAAAAGCAGCTTCTGGTTAAAATTATAAAAAACAAAAATATGTTTGCATCATTACTCTCCTGCCAGCAGGGGACAGGAATAAGCTGATACAACAAAAGGGTTTAAATTTGAGCTACAAAAAAAGGAGAAAACAACATCATAGACACAACACAAGAATACACAAGTAATTAAAGGAAATTAACAAAGTGTGGAAGGCACAATCCAAAAAAAGAACAGAGGAGGGATTACTACTCTTGTATTTATGCACCAGTGCAGACAATACTGAGAGAGAAATGACAACAGGACACTCTTCAGCGTGCTTCTTTTATGGGCTGTGCTATAAAGTTACAAAGTCACAGGTAGGAATGAAAATAAAATGCATTTTCTGAAGTATTAGAGTGTGTTAATTGGACATCTACTGCTCACTTTGGGTATTGTGACTATGCTCTAAACTATGTCAAGATCTGATGCACTGTTCAGCAGCAGGAAGGTCACTGGGTGTCTTTTTGGTGGAAACTGTTATTCTTAGTGAATTCCACAGTACACATTCATCTGGACTTGTGCACATGTATATGCCAGCACAGAGCTACGTATAAATTCATCATGAATTAACAAGGGATCCATGACAGGCAAAACAAAAGCTATTTACTGCTTCTGAACCTGCAAGCTATGACTAGCAACGATTCCTTACTGCATCTAGGTTCAGGGGCCAACCTTGCAACTCTAAAAAAGTAATTCGCAGCACACTTCCTTGAGAGAATTTCTGCTGTTGTTCAGATGGTGGCCACACTGGTGATGGGAAGGCACTTGGTTTCCTGCTAGCAGAGGTCCTAATCCTTTTTGCTTTCCATAAACCCTAGAGGAATGCTCTATCTCAGCAGGAGACTGGTAACACCACTTCTAACCATAGTGGCACATTGCAGGAGAGCCAAATATCTTCCAGAGATGTCAAAAGGAATTGCTCAGAATGCAATTTTACTAGAACCTATTAAATAAACAGAAGTCATGGTTCCAGGGTAGAGCACAAAACAGCACAAGCTGCCTAATTTATGGAAATGTAAAAAACCGTAACTCCATCCTCTGCTACACCAAAAATCTCAAGGAATCCAATCAGTTCAACAGGGAGAAACATCAAAAAAAAGTACATGTGCAAACAGATTCAACCAGATACCCCTTTAAGAAGAGAACTTACAATTATCACTTAGCCTTAATGATTTAACCATTTGCTTCCTCAGAGAAGCCTAACTTTTAGTGCTTCAGCTATAAAAGAAGAACAAGGAACATTTTGGAATGCAATGACAACAGCACACAAACCTGTTTCTGTAAACCATGAAGAGGTAGAATTTGGGTTGACAGTCTCAAACTTCACCACCTGGTTGAAGTCTCTTCCTCTACTGACACCAACACAAACTAAAGGGAATTCCTGCTCGGGGACTACCAGCATTTCAAACAGTCTCAGTGGACAAGGTACAGGAAAATCTATGTGCTAGATGAATAAGCAAAAATAGATATTAGAAGGGAAACAAATGTAGTCGGAGTTACTATTAGATATTCAAACTGTATGGTAAATTTTATGACATACTTTGTAATGTTAGGTTTACTTCTTCAGATAACAGGAATTGATAAATACAAAAGGCCTGAGTTAAGAAGCTTGGAGCATCTCATGTCAATTCAGTTAACATAAAATAACATGTCTTTTATCATGTGTGTCCTTTGCAGCTGCCCACAGACAACAAGAGTGCTTGTCACTTCTCTCCCTGGCTACTGAGCCTATAAGCCATCTCTTCCAGGCTGATCAAGTTATAGCAGATGCCTTTTCATAAACATGAGCCCATCCTGGCTCTGTCTCTTCAGGTGATGTCAGATTGGGAGATAACAAGCATTTCTGGGCACCTCAGTGTCAAAAAACATACAACAAATGGTCACCTTCTCTCTAGAATGGGAGCAAGACCACTGTTAACCCGTGTCTCAGCCTGCCAGCCTCAGTTTTCTGTTGTGCAACTGAAGGGCAATGATCATGAAGAAAAGGGCTTGGTTCTTTAACTGAAGTGCACCCCAAACCCATGAACATTTATTTTGAGTCAGGTAATACATGACACATTTAAACAGTTATTTTCAATATAACAGAAATCAAGAGAAAAGTATAATAAATCAAGAAATGGCTAAAACTTATTCTTAACAAGCCACTGCAAGATAACTAGAAGTCAACATGAGAGTAATTTTAATTTTACCTTGATTAACATAAATTTTTGCATTGGTTCAACCCATTCTAACAAAACAATGCTAGACTGTAGTGCTCCACAAAGGTATTTATGGCCTGTATAGGGATTTCTCACTGCCAAAAAAGGATACAGAGTATTAGTGCAATAGCACATACAAATTAGAAACAATTTCCAATCATGCAAGAGTCTATTTACTTTTGGAAAATACCCATCACCCCCACTCTAATCTTTTATATATTTAAAGAATAACTGATTGCATACACATCTGGAGTGTCTTGGGTCTACTGTGGTGGTCTGCCTAAGCTATCTCAAAATCACCAAAAGTAAACTGTTAAAGAATGGCTTTTTCTATGACACACAGTCGCCCAGCAGGCAGTGAACAACAGCTCAGCTGCTCTTCAAGCACTGTCACAGCGAATCTGAAATCCAGGAGTTCTGTAATTCTGATGAACACTTCTAGATCATCAGAACATCTGGCTGAAACTGAAGCACTGAAGTGCTGCTCTTCCATTGTCAGAACTTAATTAAAAACTGGCAGAGAGCAATAAAGTTGCAAAATTGGGCCCTCTGAAATTTCACTTCAATTTTACAATGCTGACAAAATTTCACTCCTTAAGCACTGGCAACATTTCCTTTAAGACAAACAAGTGTTATTTTGCACTTTGTACAAATACATCTAAAGACCAAATTTAATGTGCAGTGAAGTGACTGTGGGCTATTGGGCAATAAACAACACAGTTTTAGGTAGCAAGTTTCTACAATACAAAACTATCCACAGAAGTGAAATATGCCAACGCTACCTTACTGCCACAGAAAATCATCAGCAATCCTATGGCACCTTAAACATCAGTGCTTTATTTCATTAATCCAAGTTCTTACTCAACATCAGTCAGACTGACTGCAAAGTGCAGGAAATAACGCTTGGTGTGACCCTGAATAAGGCTGAACTTGGTAGCAACCACAAAGCAATCACCAACACCTGTAAGGTGCAGAAAGAAGACGAAAAGTTCTCATCTTTTTCTACCTCCTGCGGCACTCCTGCTGCCCCGAGGCCAAAAGCAGACTTATGTGCCAGCAGGAATGGAGGCTCAGGCCACAAGAAGTAAGACTATTACAGCCACCCTTGCTGTGTTCACAAATTATCACTCACAGCTATCATGCACGAAGGACTCCAGGCTTAGGAGGCTGAGCTATGTCTGACTATGAAGACTTCCCTCATAATGTCAAGTACCACAGCACAACACTCCTGTTAAATTCTGTGCCTGGCAGGACAGGAACCACAGAAGAGCACATCACAAGGCTTCTTGTTTTATGAACAAAAACCTAGAAACATACAGACTTCCAAATTAATTTTTCTGTCAGGTCAGAGTTTTACATACTCTGACCTCTGTCACCCCATGAGTGCTCCCTGCAGCATTCATTAACACTCACAGTGGTTTGGAGTTTTTTTAATCTATCTGCTTCTCTTTTAGACCATGTCTTAACACAGCACAGCTTTGAGACTTTGGTAGCTGACACATTATTAAACACATTATAAAGGCTTCAGAGATAACACTGTCCTCAAATAATTAAAAATACTCCTTTGCTTTTTATCACTCAATATTGATAACTTAAACTTCTGCTAGGAATACAGGTGGCTTAATCCTGATGGCAACTTCTCTAAGCTTCTCCATCCATGGAGATTAGGCTCTTCTTGAGTATTGGTTCAAATTTTGACATCATTCTGCTTCTCTGCATTTCTTGTAAATTGTCTTTAAATATGAAGAGCTGAATGGGAAAGTTTTCACTGCTTAAACCCAAGCAGTAACCTGAATGAGCTCACTGTCTGCAAATGTACAACTTCATAACAACGACAGAAGTCTCTTCTCCCTTTACCTCCTAAAGCTGACTTGGTAATCTTAATATTGCCACCATTTGTGCTGCCCCTTCACACTTTTTCTCCAGAGCTTTACTTACCAACACAACACTTTTGACACCATTTAGTGTCAGGAATTTTTGTAGATACTGCAAACTTCCTACAAAAGATAAACACAACATTATTGAGCAACTAAAACAATCGAGTAAATTTTCTTTTTAGACAGTCATTAATAGAAAAACATCTGTCACACCTAAAAGTAAAAAATTCAAGTTTGTGTATTTCTCCTGAAGTCATGGAAACAATAATGTGAAAATTTATCAGATAAACCAAAATGTTTTTTGCTGGTAACACAGGACTCAGAGTTTCTACATGGATTAGAAGACAACAAGCACTATTGAGACCGGCCACAGTACTCTTGACAATAAAAATAATTAATTTGATGCTGCAGAAAAGATGGGATAAATAGATTGACGACAGATGGTACACTCAAAGCTATGAATTGGAAAAACAGTTGTGTAGCATTTTAAATGGAACTGTCCAGAAGTGCTGATAATGCAAAAGGCCTGAACAGCATGAAAACTGACTACTGGTCACAAATTTTTGCTGGAATAAGTCATAGAATGTTTGAAAGGAACTGTTCAAGGACACTCCAGGGAAAGAAAGCTGGAAAGGACACTTATCACAGACATATTTTCTGCTACTGAATGTCTGCCTATCAAGTATCATAAATTGAGGTTAGAACATTTTGCAAATGAATATACAAACCTCACAAATTACTTCAAATTCAATTTTGCTTTTTCTTTTCTGTACCAAAACCTCTGCTTTTATCATTTTGCATATAGCACTCATCATGATAGTACCCAGAAACTTGTTTAAGAATACACTTTATGGTCTGGAAGGAAAAAAAAATTATGTTCTCTGACATACTTCAAATGTCTGTCTTCTGCTGGCTAAACATGACTACCCTGACACCCTACAATCAGAGGTAAAATAGGAAAACAGGTTATCTAAATTAACCCCTCCTGTCTTTGAATGACTGGCTTGGCACTCACAATCAGGTTGTGCTACATTTTCTTTGGAAAGTAACATGACTGGATAAAAAAATTTTCTGAGTCCTCTGCAACTTAGGTGAGGTAGCGTGCCAGGAAGAATCTAGCATGGTTTTCCTAGCATGATCCTTGTGGTAATTATGGTTATTATTTCATTGCTGATTCAGTCCTCAAGCCAAAGTCACCCACCAAAGTCAAATTTGGAAAAGAGGAACAGAACAACAGTGCAGGTACACAGAAGATAACAATTCAAAGCACAAATTATCTTTTAATTATTTAGAATTTACCCTCTGGGAAGAACACAATTTTCAGACAAGTGTTGCACCATTATGCTTGCAGGTAACTGAACAAGAAGCTTTCCTGAACCCAATAATTATATGTTAATAGGCTTTTAATACAACCAAAGGTAGCAGAGTATCAAATTTTCTGTAACACAATTTCCTAACAGAAATCCTATTCTATTAGAAGAACCAGTGTCTCGCTATATACGTTAAGAATCAAAGATTTTTCTGCAAACTAGATTAGTTAGTCACTGCAATCTGTGCACAGAGACCCCCACTATTTGGTGCTCCCAGAGCTTCACAAGCATATCCTGAACTCCCAGAGTTAAGATAATCTGATATATCCGATGATGTCTATTTACCTGGGAAGTATTCGGTCAGGGAGTTTATGTGCTGGAATAGCAACAGGTAACTTTTGCATTTGCCTTGCATAATCAAAGAGTCCTGGTAGGTTATGGGAATAAAGCTGAGAAGCTTTACCTGGCAATTAGAAAACAAACCACACTTCAAATACGAAACCAAGTGTTTACCAGCACTACCACTCAAAAACAGCACAGTAACTTACCAGATATTGATAATAAACAATTGTTCATGACATATAGCCAGGTACATCTTCGAGGAAACAACTGATAAATGGAAGGAAAAAACAAAGAAGTAGCATTCAATTTTATATACACAAGACAATTATCAATTAGTAACTGCTTAGATGACAGGACAAAACTAAAACTGACGTGCTTTTTGCAGCAGAAGTAAGTTTTTAAGCCAAGTAATGTTTACCTGGATTCCAGAGTTAATTCAGAGTAAATCTTAGGCACACACACTATATTTAATATATGAATTCACATTTAGACAATTAGCACATTTTATACTTATGTCTTCAGGTATATTATATTCCACAAGATGTCATTATAAAGATCCATCAACCCTTTTCCAAAAAATTTTCTCCTTAAGAAAAGCTCAACAACAACCTTCAGTAAACTGAGCACGGTCCACAAACCACAGCCATTCTAAAGCCTGTGACAGTCCAAATCTCTTGAAACCATTAAAACTGGCACTCCAAGTGATTCTTCACCTTCACCTGCATGATTAAACATTTCACTTAAGTGATGAACAAGTGCAACAAATACTCAAGGCAGAGCTGGTTCTTGTCAAATCCTGCAAACTCCAAAAAGATGGGGGTGAAAGCAACAAAACATCCCTTAAAAAAACCCAAACAAATCACAACTACTTTTCCCCCACCCCACTCTCATCTAACTTCTGAAACTACTTGGCACAAGATGTCATGGAGGTGGAAAGTACCAACACAACCAAGGGATTAGACATACTCGTATTCAACAGGTCCAAAAGTGAACAAAAAAATAGGCACGGATCCTCCAACATCCCCGAATCAATGACTGTAGAGGATTCCAAGCTCACTGACATTTCCAGCTGCCACTTTAGGAAAGAGACTATTGGGCTAGACAGACCACTCAGGAGGACAATTGTTTCGCTCTTAAAAAAAAAAAAAACACCACAAAAGAAAGCAAAACACAACTCTTCCAAAAAAGAGATTAAAATATAAACCTTGAACCTATTCCAACTCCTGGAAATGTGTATTATGTCTCCTTTGTCCAGTGGTGAAGTGAAATACAGAGAAAAATAATCAAGGATATTACTTTTGCTTTTATGCTGAGTCGTATCAGAGTGAGAGTAAACAATGACATAAAACACAAAACTTGGAAATGCCATTAAAGCCCTACTGGCTGCTATAAATGATGCAATAAATGGTTAGCACAGAGGGTGCACTATTCCTGAAATCTTCTCATAACACAAACACACTGTAAGAAACACCTATGATAATAATCGACCAAACTCCTTGTAGCAAAATTTGCTACCAATTTAACACGTAAGGTTGGTTGACCTTCTGCAGGTACACGAGCATACTGTAACTAAGTAAATTTGGATCTGAGGATTAGAGAACAGCAATTCTTCAAAATAGCAGGTTAATTGACCTGTCACTCATTCTTCCTGTTCCACACCACTGGCTGTGTTAGCAAGCATTTCTTCTTGTCTCTAAGTGCTTATTAAAACATTTTCCTGAAAGCTCACTAGGCAACACACTGCATGATTTTCATTATGGCTCTTCTCCTCCCTTGCCAAAAAAACAAACCAAAACCAAACCCCAAACAGTGAAGAAAAAACCCAAAACTTTCCTTGGTCTATCTGGCCTACAAGAATTATTGCATTAGTGATATTTCCCAGGGTAGTTGTTACAACTGCAATGCAGCAGCAGAGTGCTACCTGAGCTAAGTATAAACCAGGTAACTCATGCAGCAGTATGAGCTCAGTTCAAGCTAGCTAGGCCTCTCTCTCAACAATCTCTACAATGTCTGGACCCTGGAGGATGAACAAACACCAGTGCCTCCAGCTTACAGTGTGAAGGCTGTCCTTGCAAATTCCTCCATCTTGATGGCAGGTGCACAGCTCCCTACAGTAGGGAGAAGGCAGGAAAGAAAACAAGTCTCTTAGAGTAACGAAAGAGCTAGAGAATACAGAAAAGCCTGCAACTTGCATTTTCTCCCTCCCTAGCATCCCTTTTAAAAAGTTACTTTTTGTAAGACTTTGCAAAGACAGAGCTTTAGGTGGAACGCAGTAAGAGGAGTTTCATTAGCTTTTAAGACCACAAGAATGGACTCCTGTGAATAAAGGATCTCCTTGCTTCCCTGTAGCTGAAACACAATGTTTGGTGCAAAAATTCTGTATTGCAATGAAGTTTTAAGGAAAATAGAAACTTTCATCCAGAATGCATCAGGGAAATTCCATACTATTTACCTAATTTAACTGCAGAACAATGCTCTATGATGAAGTTCAAAATACCGATAGATGAAGACCTCCTATATAAACAAAGTTCAGCCTACAAATCACAAACGTGACTGAAAAGTATCCTCAATAGCAAATATTTAATGTAATTCTCAGTGTAGCCAGTGCCTATGTAAATATAGTAAAAAACATTTTTACAAGGATTATACAACATTAATCTGATTTTAAAAAGTGATGTATTTTTTTTTAAATTAGAAATATACCTGCTCCATTGATGTTTCATGAAGTTCATTGAGGTTCAGTGTGTAAATACCTTCTTCTGCTCCAAATATCAAGTACTGATCTACAAACACAAACAAAAAGAGGTAGAAATCTTGATTTCAGGAAGTTATGTACACCTTTACCAAAAGAAGATATTTACACACATGGAAACAAATCAAACTATAATAGTTACAGTGTCTGAAAGCATGGAAAAATAATCCTGACAAGGAAGTTTTAGTTTATGAATAAGAGTGTTTTAAGTCACTAGGAAAGGGGAGGGGGGGAGTAATACTTGAAATTTTAAAAAAACTGATTCAACCACAAGCAGGAAATCACATGAACAGTTTCAGCATATCCTACTTAGACATTTCCACATATTATGGAAATATCCATTGCTATCTTTGAGAGTACATCTACAGCAGTACTGATGGAACATTTTCTTAGTAGTCTGTGGGTGCCTCACTTCTTGAACATAATCAAATCCCTGGATTGTCCATAGGCATGGAAACAAGGCAGACATCTGCTATGAGATGATGTCAACTGATAAGGATTTACCCTTCCGTAATTCCAGTTTCTAAAAAAATACAAATTATTTTCTTGCTGACCAGCTCAGTAATATGTCTATATAGCTTATAATCAAAGGGTGTAATGGCTGTATAGTATTACCAACTATCCCTTTTATCAGGCTAGATATCAATGCACTAAAATTTCTGCAAAAATAAACAGCTGCAGAATCCTGTAGGGCCAGAAAGATCTCAAAGGAAAAAAAAGATCAAGTGAATGATAAAGAAGTCAATCTCAGCTAAGACCTCCAAAAGTCAGATTTTTTACAAATAAATTAGGATTGTCTTTTTTTGGACTAAAATGTTGAGAAGCGTCTTTAACTTCGATATGTAATTTATTCTTTTTAATCAAAGCAAAAAACTTCATCCAACTTTAGACAGCAGTGGCATAATAAAAGAATAACTCCTGCTTATACAAACATATGTCTGTTTTAAAAGGAATAGTCCTGCTCATCTAAGTACTCTTGAAATTCAAGGAGAGGACAAAATGGGTAAAATACTCATCATATAGTACCTCTTGTATCTGGATTTATCCAAGATGTTGCACAATGAATTTTTAGTGGACAGCCATTGAAAACCTTTGAAAAGCAAGCACCCATCTGTGGAAGTAAAAACATTAAATATATATATGAAAAATTAAAATGTGACCTTCGCAAAAGTATTATTTTTACTTCAAGTAGTAACAAAAGGTTAAGAGTCATACCACTGGCTTAGCATTGCTCAGTCATAATGGGTTTTTAATGCTAAATAACAAATACTACAAACAATCAAAAAATGTGCTCTTTCACCCTGCTCCCAACATGCATTTGTATGACTCAGCAATACTCACATGAACTTTAGGTGTGGGAGGAAGGCCATTACTAATTGGTTTCTAGAAAATAAAATTTAAAAGTATATTTACACTCACATACACACTGTGCTTGAACATGTATATTCCCTCCCCACACACAGAATAACCATAACACTCAGCAACATTTTCTTTCACTAAAATCTCTACTGTGATGCCCTAATACCTCCTCATTGTATGCTTGCACAGTCTTGTGCAACGTTTTCACACTACACTACTACAGTGTACACTATTTCACACTACACTATTACAGTGGTGGCTGTAAGAATGCCATCTCCACTACTCAAGAGTTTAAGCAATATTGTAACAATTGCTCAATCTTTTAGTATTACAGCATTAAATGTTACCAGTCAGTGCTATATGCACTTTCCTGTGTCAGTATCAATTTCTCCTAGCACAAACAAGTTCCTGAACAAAGTATTTTACAGGTAAATTTCAAACACAAAATTTCAAATTACAAGTTCAAAGCTGTCCAGTTAATCCTACTTTCCAAAGTACTGCCAGTATTACTGGCATTTCCTTAAAACAAAACAAAGGCTCATCATCACATTTCTAGTCTATTTCCTCTTCACTTCTCACAAAAAAATTTACACTTCCAGCCTCATACTTGGAAGGAGCCCTCAAAGAGGGCCTCACATTACATTTAATCTATTCTAATTACAGCATATTCCATTCCCTCATTTCCCCATTTGCTATTAAACAGTTATTGCTCAGTATGCCACCTGACAAAGCAAGTAAATTGTATATATTTGTGATTATGTTTGTTTCTAAGGAATATTAAACACTGACAAACTTCAGCCTAAGGCTGTATCACAACTAGACAATCAAGGAAAACTGTGCTTTGATTCAAAGTAAACAAGATGCCATCCAGCATAATTTCAAATTTAAAGAGCACACCTACTCCTTTTCCTTGCACATTTGGAACAGTCAAAGCAACTCTACAAGGACACCCAGAAACTTAAATACCTACCAGTATTTCCTTCTTTTCTTTCCTTGAAAAGTTAGTGTCTCTAGCTTCATTCTGTTGATGTGACAGCTCCTCTCTTTCACCATTTAACTGCACAGAAGTGACTCCATTACCTAGAAAGATTCATATTTAAAAATGTGTTCCTCTACCTTCACCTCAAAGAGTAATCTAAACCAAAAATTCTTTTAAGTGGGCCAGAATATCCAATTAAGTAAGAACATATACTATACACAATATAGTATCAAATACTCTAATTGATTTCTGAAGTATGTATGTTCTTACATGTGCACATATCCATCAAGCTGCATTCAATCTCAGTCCATGACTTTTGGTAATGAATGTAACAACTCTAATATAATAACTCTAATCTAACAACTCTAACAGGAGCACAGAAAGGGACCCAGTCACCGTTATGAGGGGAAACCTGTTGACCACACCTAAAGAAATACTTGCCAATAGCTAGCACTTCTATTATTGATTCCCTAGAAACACAGCCTTGTTAGAGTCACATCTTTAACAAATCAACTGCAGTACTAAGTATGAAGCAAGAAAAAGCTACCAAAGTAACAATTAAGAGGCAGACATTGAGCTTGCTTAAGAGAAGCCAGTCCAAGACAACTCTCAAGGCATTAGACTGGCAAAGGCATAAAATGAACAGTCTGAGCAGACAGAAAACAAACACAATTACCTCCTACACTCCCCAATCCAGTTCCTTATGTACAAAAGCAAACTTTGAAAGCAGAACTCTGTTCTTGACATGACAAATGACAACAGCTGACACACTGAACCTGAAACCTACAAATATATTTTTTTACCAATCCTGATACTCTAGATTATAAACCTGTTGCTTAGGAAAGCAACTGTGCCACCAATGGCATCAGCAGGAATTGTGTCAGTGACTTTGACAGAAGGTTCATTTGACCCTCTTAAGAGTTAAAGCATGCTTTCTTCATGAATTTTGGCTTTCATGCACTTTTTGTTACTTGTCCACCATAGAAGAAACTACCTCAATATCTTTTAATGTGTGCATAGCTAAGAATATAGAAATCACATCAGATTATTTAAGAAATACTTGTATACTCTTTGGGGTCACTTTATTACTTAAAGGATTAGATTTCTGTGGAGGTAGCCGAGGAGGTGGTGGTCTGGGTGGAACATGAGATGTAGATTTTGCTGGACTCTCTGATGTTGGGCATCTCTTGATTGTCCCTTGATTTTCATTTTCTGAAGAATAAGTTTCTTGGGGGATAAATATGGATTTAGGCTGAAAGAGACATAGTAATAATCAAAACATAATGAAAAAAGATTCCAAGCGTCCACGCCACTTATCAATGAGGAAAAAAACCCCACATACAGCATGTAGATCCTGAAATTTTCACAAGTTAAGAGCCACCAATACAGTAATCTAAATATTCTCCATTTATTTGTTTATTTAAAGTGCATTTTTCTCCTGAGCAACCAAAGTCCTCTCACTTACCTTTGGTGGTAAAGGAGGTGGTACTTTAGGTTTCATAGTAGCACTATGAAGAGAATAAATAAAACAAAACAGAGAGAAAACTTAAATTGCAGTTTTCAAGAAGATAGAGGGTTTTAGAAACGCCATACAAATAAATACCATTAACTTGTCAAGAGCACTATTATATCCAAGTAACTGCATCACAAATACTTTCAATATTTTGTTATACCTCAAATACTGTAAGAAAACAAGGATCACAGGTTCGCCCCCATAGAGCAAGGAGTGTTATAAACTGATTTGTTGAAGACGCACAAATTGTGCAGAACAAAGCAAGGAGAAAGCAGAAGAGGACTGACATTTGCTCTGTTGAGAGGAGAAAGTTTAGGGTCTCAGTGAGCTGAAGGGGAGTTACAAGAAAACTAATGAAGACCATTCCTTGGAAAATGACTTAGAAAAGCCTTATACATAAAACTATAATCCATCTGCAGTGGACAGCTACCCTCGTGTTTAGGTTAGCTGGTGGGTTTTTGTCGCTGTAGAGGTGGGCACGACATACAAATAGACACACTACATTTCAGAAGGCTAATATTCTGTTTATTACAACAACCGGCTGTCTTTTATACACTCTACAAAATTTACACTTTATTCATTGGCTACAATAGATCAATATAACATTGATTGGTGTAAAGCCATCTATGCCTCTATTTTCTAACCTGGCGTCTTATGTGTTGTTTGTATTTCAGAGAAGCTGGAAGGGAATTTTGAGAACAAGTTCCCCTGTGTTATGCACTTCAGCTGTCTTTGTGGTAGAAATTATCTTCTCTTAGTAACATGGGGCTAAGTTTAAGTCCTCAGTCATAAGGGTTCAAGCTCCATTTCCATTTACTTTTGTATTCTTCCTGCATTTCAGACAACCAATGTTACTGGGCAGCCAAATAAAGCAAAAATGGCAACAATCTGGCATGTGATAGATGTGTGTACAAAAGACCATGTGCCCTTGCTTCAACAAGAGGGTTTAGGCGCAGTTTGTCACTGCTATTCATGCAGGGCAGTGCCCCAGTCATTTCTGCTTTCCCAGTTTTCATAACCAGGAAATTCCAGCATCAGCAGCCTTGCTGCACATGAGAGAAAAAGAAATATCAAAACAATCAAAATTATTAAATGAAGAGAAATATCTTCGTATTGTTCTCTGAAACATGGATTTTCTGCTGCCGTTTCATGCAGTGGCACCAGTTTGGGCTGGAGAGGGTACACTGCATTCACTGGTTTTGTTCTGGATCTGAAGGAAGAAGTGATTGATGTCACATGTGCTTCCCAACTGCAGCTTCACCTCACAGAATATAAATCAAACCAAAGCCTTGAATCTTCAGTGTGCTCCACAGAAAGATATTCAAGACCAAGCAGATGAACCAATAATTGCAGCAGATCTCCAGCAGTTACCAAGAGAAAGGCACATATGCAGAATCTGTCTGACCCAAGGTTGGGAGATTAAAGTTTTTTACACACTGTCAGGCCCTCTCTGTAGGACAAAAGTACTTAGGATGAAATATCAGAAGAAACAAAAAACACCCAGACAATTCTAGAAGACAAGCTGACTACTAGTCCCCAGGGTCAGATGAATTAGAACCTCTCCAGGAGCTCTCTCAGGTTCTTTCTTGCCTAAACTAAAAAAAAAGTACCTACAGAAACACAACTACAACATAAGCAGATGCAATCAATGCAGTTTGAAAGTTTTGATGGAGCCTGTGCAAGGAACAAGGATCTCAAAGTACTGGACGAAGAAATCAGTGCCAGCACTTCAAGACAGCAGGGATCAAGAGGTTCCAAGCCCTGGAACATTACTGAAGTTGATGATATTGGCTGCAAATAGAGCAAAAGGGGGTGGGGGGGAAGAGAAACATGAAACAAAAATGAACAGACACAGAGCTGCACAGAAAAAAACATACAGAAGTCCATATGGATGGAGGAATCAAGCTGAGGTGCTCACAAAATCAGTAAAATGACTAAAAAAAAAAAAATTATAGATTGGTTCTCTGCAAGAGAGAGATGACAGCAACAGGTAACACATGTTTTAAAGGTTTCTTGCACAGAGCAACAGCTTTCCAAATTATCTATTAACAGAAAGCAAACAAAAATTATGTCTCAGTGGCATGGTTGTTTTTAGTCTTTACACCAGATTTCTTAAGGAATGTAAATCTTTAAGTACTGGTTTTGCTTTTCAAATTTATTAAGCTCTCATCTATGAATGAAATAGAGCCCAAGAATACTTATATCAGTGGGATTTAATAAGAACACCATAAAGTGACACATGCCTTTGCAGTCACATAATCTTGCTCTCTTTAAGTAAAGGAAGTCAGCTCTATTCCAAAAACTAAGCACCCATACAAGCATCCTCCTAATTGAGAACACAGACAGAACATACTCAAACATCTAGAGAAGCCTGTAATGTATATATTTCATCTACATTTTATGAGCTTTATTTTAAGATATAGTTATCAGTTCTAAAGAAGGCACTAAGACTGTAGTCAGACAAATTACTGGCTCTACATAATGATGCCAAGATTTTGTTCCATAATAGAAAATAAAAAGAAAATTGTATCAATCAAGGAACAACATTTCCCCCTCTCCCCAACTTATAACAAGCAGCAGAATAAGATGATTTATGGTGATGCAATCTAGCAACAACACTAAAATACCTACCTTTAAAAATGCTACAGCAGCAAGATTCCTGAGTTGTTATAGAATAGGATTCAAACTTTGTTTTCAAACTCATCTATTTAAGAATCTGATTTTACTTATTTTTACAAGGACTTACTGTTTAGAATCATTGTCTGCATCATCATCATCTTCTAAGTGCGCCACATGTCCCCTAAAAAAAAAAAAAGAACAAAGTACAATGGTTGAATGAATTGTATTAAAATTACCTCAACTGTCGTGAAAGATTCTGAGCTCAAAATCTACCTCTTTTATGTAATTTTATCGCCTTTTTTAAAATCATTCTTTAAAATATAGCTGCAATCTAGAGAACCATGCCTCTCTCTCAGGCTCTCAGCAAGCAAAGGGACAAACAAGAACCAGTTGCGACAGACAAAAAAAAAATCAACACACAAATTTTGAAACACACACAACACAAAGGAACACAGAGGAAAAAATAAATAGAATTACCGCTGATGTAGTTCTTCTTCAACTGATTTTAAGAGACTCCTTCAGCATCAAATAAGAACAAGAACATAATTTAATTGTGGTACACAAGCACAATTATCAAAAGCCAGAACAAAAGCACCTATGATTCTATCAGTAAATAATCCAAAGCACGTTATTTCAGCTGGCTTTTGGAATATTCATACAGCATTCAAATATAAACAAACAGAGCCTGCAAATTTTTTTAAATTTACTGTTTACACAACACCCTTTCATGTGTGTTTATTAATGCATTGCTATTAAGTGCAATGGTCCTTTTTCCTCTTACTGTAAAACAAGGACTGTGTTACTTTAATCCAGTTTAAAATAAATCCGTAAGAAAATCGTAATATTAAACAAAATAAACCAACTGACAAGTATGAAACTACTGCTGGAATAAAGTAATATTCCCTGGTTAATTTTTGTAGCATTATGAACTTCATATTCATATTTTGTCTGAAAACACAGAAGAATCACACTAAGGATTGGGACTAAGGAACAAGAGGATTTCAAAATACATCAAGTATTGATTATTTTCCCAGTTAAAGACTGTGCAAAAATATCATGCCCTATGCTTAGCTTTTCTGCATTTTTAGTAAGATTTAATTTAGCAAATCAAAGCTAGGCATCTTAATTCTGGCATGCATAAATGTAATTAAGTAATTGTGTGGAAAGGGAAAATTTCCTGGAAAATTATTTCATATGATTAATATATCAAGATGATTAAAGGTATGAGCATGAAGTTAAAGGGCTTGCTAAGAAAGGTACATTTTATTTTTTTAAAGCATCTATAACTGCATGTTCCTAATGCCCTACAATAAAAAGAACGGGCATAAAGGAATGTCAAAGAGCAGCACTGGCAGTTCCCAGGTGGGGTAATATTGTGCTCTCTGGACCTATCACGCAGAATATTTTGTAAAAAAGTAGACCAAGATAAAAGCTCTTAAAAGGAAGCTTATACCACCACAAAGATAATATAGTTAATACAGCCTCAAATACTGAAAAGTGCTGCGGTTCTGTAACATTAGAGTTACTATTATTTTAGAAATAAGTAAGTGATTTTGGAATTTGAATTGATAGAAACAAGTTTGACTTATTTTACTACATCCACTTCAGCTAATATGTCTTTATATTGAAGTAGTCTTGAATGAATGAAGACAGAAAATGCAGTTGCATACTCACTTATTAGCACCCAAAAAGTAGCCACACTGAGGACCATGACCATATTCTAGCTGTAGATCCTAAAAAATAAGAGAAAATCTCTCTGCCAGTTTGCTCCATCTCTTAATTCCTTTTAACTTTGACCTTAGCCCCTTCCTTGAACACGAGATCCTTTGCTCAAACAAAGTCAACTGCAGAAAAGCAAACAAAACTACAACAAAAGTAATACAACGATACGAAGAAAAAAAATTCAGGACTTTGCAATCTACCAGGTTCCATAGAGAACCTAGCTACCTCTCACTGGCACATTTAGTAGTCATTCAAATAGAGGAGTAGTTCTGGCAGGGAGCCTGAAATCCTTTAGCACATGGAAACATTTAAAAACAAGCGGAGAGGACAATAAATGTTTTTATCTGGTTATACCAATATGTGAATACATTAGGAAGACCTTTTCTTTCAGAAAAAAACCAAAACCAAAACAGAATTAATAAAGTCAAACACTCCAGCAATCATGGAGTGCAGGCTACACAGAAAAAGATGTGGCAATAGGCCTTCAACACTATTTTAAAATAAACACCATAATGGTATAAATATTTAATGCATTAATGGAATACAGGAACTCCACTGAGGCACAATCAAACATCTGCTGGGAGAATACTGCTATAATTACAGTCTATTTTTTTCTTCAGGTGGATCACAACAGGAGAAATCTGAACACAAATTTACTCCCAAAATAGTGAGTGTATTCACCAGGAGAAAGAAATTATTGATCACTTAAATTAGTGATAAATGGAGCTAGACCGTTCCTTCACAGGAAATATTTCAAAGGTCTCTCAACACCTTCTGTTGAACAGGCCCCTTTCAGCTGCAATCCGTATCAAAAAGCATGTCACCCTTCAGCAAGAAGCCCAGATAACCAAGCTTTAAGAGAATAACTCTGGATTAGATGGGGCTGATCTTTCAAAAGGGTGTTCTTAAAAATCAGAGACAAAGTCTCAGATTTGCCAAGGTTCCAAGCTGACGAAGTGGAAACCACTGCATCCCTTAGTTCCAGGCTAAAGGGCAATCACACGTTAATACAAAGCTGTAAGTACTGCTTTTTTGCTTGCTAAGGAGTTTCAGGTTGTTTACTGCACCATTTAGTCCGCCCTGTAAAGCTAAATAGTAGTTTGCACATGGGTGTGTCTACCACAGCTGTCAGTAGCATTTGGTTGCTTTGGTGACTTCACATATTTTCAAAATAAGTGAAATATTGTGGAAAAAACACTATGTAACTGAAAATTACTGACATAAAATAACTGACAAAATTATTGACATAAAAGAATGTATAGACCAGAGAGCTGAATAAAAATTGCAAATGCAAGCCTGGTCCTGGCATTTCCTGAACCATGGAGAGACTGACTTTCCAATCTCTGTATCAACTTTATTATACATCTGTGTTCTAGGATTAAATGATTCCCCTAAACCACCAAACTCACCCACTTCTATGAATTTGACACCTCACCACCAGTGGATGTTCTAGAATCCACCAGCAAGAAACAGATTCAACTTTCTTTGCTCCAAGTACTTCTATTACTTCTGTGCAATCTCAGAAACTTCCACCTGCAAGCACAGATATTTTGAGGATTCAGGCTCTAGAGCAGAGAATCAATCACAAGACTGGAAATGTAAGATGTTACCAGGCTCACAAGCAAGTAGGTTAAACAGGTTGTGCGAGTCTCAATAAGAGGATGCCAGAACAAAGTCTGGGAAACTGTTGAGAAAAGTAACTCCAGAACAATGTAAGGAAATCTGAGATTTTCACCTTGAACAGACAAGCCTCCAATGTTGCAAAATACTGGGCAGACCCAAAATGCCCGTCCATTTGAATTTACACACTATGCAACGTATGGCTATAGATACCCTGCACAGCAATGACAAGGAAATTAGTACAAGAAAATAAATAAACCCACCTAAAACAAAAGGACCCCTCCTCTGCCACCAGTAGTTCTTCTTTTAAGAATGATGACATCTGTTTAAATGTTTTAAAGGGCAAAACCTTTGTTTTGATTCAGTTTACACCTTTAACTATGATTTTAATTGGACATGTATACCCTTCCTAATCCCTTTAAATATTGCTGGTTTTCACTCCAAAGGTAGGGTCAAGTACTCCACTACCAGGGAAATTTCTCCTTTTGACCTCTTGATAAGTACTGAGAGCTAGAGAGGTTTTAAAAAGTGAAATACATTTTTCTTCTACCTTCTATTTCAAATACACACAGAATTTATAATTTTATATTAACTAAACCTATTTGATATACATTTGATACAGAAACATTGGTAGATTCTGCATGTATCCAGCAAAGCCTCTAGTGAGCTGTTGTACTGCACCAGAACACACAAAAGAAATAGATTTTTTTAAAGCCACACATAAAGGTATGAAATCTTATGAGTTATGGATTTCTACTGGGAAGAACACATTGGTATTAATTACTAAATTATGCAAAGTTACCCATCAGCTTAATCGATCTACATTAATATTTTAATTTAACATACATACAATGCTGGTTAGTTAACTCAAATTCTCTTTAGATCAGACAAAATTGACACAGAATAAACCTGAGTGACCAGACAGATATATTCCAACAGAATCTCGAGATCTACAGCCAGTAGCAATGAGAAGAGGTCTATGATCTTGGCATCGAATCAAAGATGAGACCTCAGATTACCAACAGCTCATTCCTGAAACAATTCATCCATGTACAAGACCAGAATGCTCTTTGCTGGTGGGGACTGCTTCAGAAAAAAGGTAATACAGGGAATAATTACCAGCTCTTCTCAACAGCTCAGGTAATATTAAAGGAAGCTGCCATGTAGAAAGCCACATCATACCCTTAGATAAATCACATGTGCAAAGTAATCAATGACTAAAAAGAATATTAAAAACAGTATAGAGATTTCCTCAAAACATTTGATGGCAAGGCCATGCCATGAAAAGAATTCCCAAGGAATGATCAAATCTACAATAACTTCTGCGGCTTAAATTTTAAAAACCTGCTATTTAATTTCTGCAGAATTTCACTCTAAGTTAACTGCTACTGTATCTTTAACAGTCTTACCATCCTAATTTGTTCTATAGAGCTGGGCTGTCCTGGAAATCTATTTTTTGGTGTTTAGGCCTTCAAAACCAAAATGTATACATAAATCAGAAATTCACAGTTACTCCTACATTTGCTGTTCTTGAAACCTAACAAGACCATTCGAAGTGACAAAATTAAGACTTGAAATGTACAAAATGCTGGGGAAGTAACACTGAATTTCAAAGAATAGAAACCACCTTTGGACTACTAACACATCAAGTAAGAAGGCACATACAGTTTCTCAGTAAAATGAAAAAGCAATTCTCATTGCTTCATCAAAGAGGAAGTTAATACTTAGAAGATTCTAACACTACCTAAGGCATATTCTGTATTTTAATGCCTTTATTTCAATAAAAAGTGCATTCTTGAATTTCTCTGGATAGCCTAACACATCAGAAATAGCAAGTTGTAGTATATTTTTTTAACATGCTAAATATAATTCTCCCTGATGGCTGAGTGAGGTTTTACTGTGCATTATTGCTACACAACGACTCTTCCCCTCTTCCCTGGTATTTCAGTTCTCCACACATTTTGTCTATGAATGTCCCCTTGCCTCCTAGCAGTAGAACTGAGCATCTAATTTTCTTAATTACTATTTTCAAATAAATACCTAAAACATACACGGGAAGAAAGCAAAAGAGCAAAAACCACTGGTACTTTTCCCGCCGTTTCCACTTATTTTCTTCTGATCCTAAGGACCATGCTCCATTTCACTACCTAAAGTTGAAAAAGGTATGAAGACTCTCTGAAATTCAATACTGATAGCTGCAATATGTTTTTAGAGCTATGTTAGCTAAAGTAGGATAGGAGTCTTCATGGCTTGCAGCAAAGAAAAAGTATATATATATGTGTAGTGAAGAGAAAAATTACTTAAATTAAAGAAAAATGTTCCTGGGTAAGCTTCTCTGTTACCTATGTTAATATTTTTAGTTCAATCTTTTCCTACTTTAGCTTTTCTGCCACAACTAGTTAAAAATCACAGAATAGCTATGCAGAAATATTACATTCCTAAAAGTAACTGCTACCAAAAACAATCACAAATTATTATACCCAGAGTGTATTAAGGAGCCAAAAGAAAACAAAAATCAACCATGACCAAATTATTTAAATAGCACCAAATTTATAAATGCACCTGGCAAGGACAACAGTGTAGACAGCATGGGAGCCGCAAACCTCTAACCGAAATCTATGCTAAAGTCCTAAATGAATGCTACATTTGTAACAACTGAAAACAATTATAGGTTGGAATCTGAGATAGTCAAGTCCAAGTTTTATTCAACTCCCCTGTCACTTTAATAGTGGAATTCTACGCTTTTCCCTGTGTATTATATCCTCCAGGTTAAAATACTCCAGGCCACTACTTTAAGAAGAAGTAAGCTAGAGATCACCAGGGGCTCCTTGCCACTTCATTTTTTTTTTTGGGAATTCTCTCATGGTATTTCTCACTTAACAAGGTGTGCAGCCCAGTTCTCCATGTAAGAACCAGAATAATTTTTCAGCTCACAAGGAATGGGAAGAAAAATGTTTTGCCACAGAATTTCATGGTAGACCAGGATAACTTAAACGAAAATATTTTCATTTGGTTCAACGTGACATTTTGAGTCAGAACAACAGCAAGCTTTTGTGACTCAGGATCAACAGCATAAGTTTAAGATGTCCCAGAATAAAGAGTATATCTTTTGAAAGGTGACTTTGATTTAGATCAATTCCAGACCTCACTGCAAATGCTCAGCTCTGCACTTGATTTGAGCCAGGATCCAAACAACTGCTTTTAAAATATACAGAAACACAGTGAAAAGATCTACCTTATGCAAAGTCCAATGTGAACGTAAGACTAAGAAAACAAAATAGCAACATGAAGAACTCTAGATGACAGGAAGTAGCATGTGCAAAAAAAAAAGAATCTCAAAGGACAGAAGGTACCCAACAAAGTTTCTGAGAAACCTGTCTAGTTGTAGAAAAAAAAAACAAAACACCTATCCTGAAGGACAAAAGAGCCTGTATCTAGAGCAAAATAGTCTGTTATTTATTTAGGTATGAATCAAAGGAGTATATTTGTAGAAGATGAAAGCAAAGCACTATCTTGCCCTTTCAGATTGCAATTTTCATTAAGGGATACTGGGGTTTGGTTACGAAATTTTCCCTGTACTGAATTTCTCCACTCTTCTGGCAGATCCAGGTGGGTGTCTCAGAAAAAAACAGGCAGAAGGAGAGGAAGAAAAAGAGAGGAATGATTTTCAAGGGTAGCCACATCATAGGCATCAAATGTTTGAAAGGTAATATGCACAAACTGCCATATGATTGATCCAGCTGTGCAAAATCCTGCCACTCACTCCCCAAATTTGCTTTCAATATCAACTGTATGTGGCCCAAAATATGCCTCAATCTATGATAACTTTTTAAAAATTATGTTAGCTCTGCAAAGGAATTGTTATTTATGAGGTATTTTATAAAACCAGTACAACAGCAGGGAAAGAGCCCAACAGTAGTAGGTGATACATCATGCTTGTGAAAAAGTGTAATTATTTCCTCTTGGTAACATTTAAAAAAATTCACATACCACTTCTCAATGAACATATCTGAAACCAATACTGTCAGAGCAGGAGTGGGGGAAGGGGAGACAGAGAGACAATCTTTGATAAGTGAATCCTACAGAAAAATGAACCAACTAGTAATTATCTCCTCTAAGGGTTAGATCTTACTGAAAAATCTCACATGGAATTACCACCAACTCAGAATTCTCCACTTTGATTCACAATAAGCACAGGAGGATGTGAAGAAAGCAGTGAAACAGAGCATTGTTGAGAGACTTTAAAAACACATCTCATGATTTTGACAACGACAGTATTTGGTAAGTTTTATCGTAGCCACAATTTTTGAAGAGTGTATTGAACAGCATGGAGTAGAAGAAGGATGGGAAAGCACAGTCCAGTTATGAGACATGCTCTCATTCTGCTCTTAGACACACAGATACCAGGCTAGCAAGATATATGACAACACTGAAAGTAGCCTTAAAAAAAATTTTGAAGTATTAAAGTGTAAAGAGGAAACCAAAAGCAAACCAAACTGAAAAGCCAAAACCACACTGTCAAAACCAAAGGAACTGCACAGGATGTGGGTGCTGCCACCAGGTAGGGAAATCTAAACTACTGAACTCAAAACAATTTGTGAAACATTCTTAAAAGGAAGTAATACAGAAATTTCTTTCAAGAAAGGCAAAAGCGGTCTAAGTTTTCACTAATTACGTTTCTGGCAGATTCAAGTCACACCAGACTAACAGATGACATAATAAACAGAAAAACCCCGTAAGAACAAAAACCCAAGACATTCTCAAACACCCCAGTTTCCCATTTTCCTCTCAGTGCATTTATATTAAACATCTCACAAATCCAAGAAAGTTAGTAGATTAATGCTCTTCATTTAGTACAGAATGTTACTTCCTTTTTCTCAACACTTTGTCCAAGACTTGAATGCTTTACTTATCTAACTACACAAAGAGCAGAGAAATAAGAAAACTCACTCCCTAGACTAATTTCTACAGTGTGATCCTAACAAACCACATTTTTTAGTAGTGCAGAAACAGAAAATTTGGAAAATGTATCAGACTTTAAATGATGCCAAATGCCACTGAAAACAGTTATGAGACCACTTTCTGTTATTTCTATTAAGTGTATAGTCATTCTGTAACATAATTACCATCGGGAGAATTCCGAGACTTACATAATATTAAGTCTTGCATAAGTTCATTTAAAAAAAACCTACTATACAGAAATACAAAGAAAATGTTTCTTCTATTTTCAATCGCTCTTCAAAAAACTAACAAATTATGCACAGTATGGCAGCAAAGAAATTAGAATGAATGCAAAACACTAAGTCCCTTCTATAAGAGTAATTCAAGTAAATATGAATACAGGTTAAATACTGTCAATGCTGCACATAATAAGAATTTCTTTCTACACTACAGAAATACACATATAGACGAACAGTTGTACTGAATGATTTTTACACTGATGAAAACGCCACTACAACAACAACAGGACAAAACACGAACTTTGAAAAAGGAAAACAAGGACAAAACTAACACTGACAAAGAAAGGCATAAGATGAAAAATACCAGGTTAGATCTTGCAGTGTAGTATATGTCTTCTGAATCGTCCAAAAAATCGCTACTGTCAGGCTGTTCATTAGATAGAGATCAAGAAAATATATTATTTATACTGTGACTGAAAGCCAGGTGCACATAAAGGTAAATTTTCTTGCTAAAGAAAAGAAAGATACTGTTAGCTGAAACTCAAAACCATATTAAGACAATTCTCAGGATGGGGGTAAAACACAGCTAAGGGAATGGCCACATTACCAAACACCAAAATGATGAATTATCGTTCATCAGCTCAGCTGTGGTATTGTGTAACAAACTGTCCCAGCAAGAGCCCAGTTCAACATCTCAGTGCAGCACTAACAATAACTCCTCACGCTGCAGGGGTCCAGTGCTTTGTGCTCTCACACACATAAATAAATGAGTGTAAGTTTTAGCACACTTGATGAGATAGAAGCAAAAGCATCAGAACTGCTTTAATGAAAACAGATCCACACTGCTAATGCTGGAGGAAGAGACAATCATCTCTCGCTCCTACTTCCATTTCAAAGACTTTCTCTGCCAGAGTGGGTAGATTGTTACAAAGTTCTCCCACAGACTAGTTTGTGCTGAGGCTCCTTGCTAAAGCATCCATTCTTCGAATAGGTCATTTGTCTGCAGTTGGCCACGGCAATTTAAATTGTCCATTGGTTCTTCAGCTAATCTATAACTATATGCTATTAATTTGGTCTCTGGAGTCGACATCATTATTTTTGAAATCATAGATCTGTTTCGTCTGGGAAGAACATAGCAGGTCTGCATGCTTCCTTCTGACCTAAGGCATGAAGCAGTTAATTTTCCTCTTCAGAAAGATCTAGTTATAGGTGTTCCGTATAGACAGGGAGATGAGGTGAGCTCCTTGGAGAGGTTTCATATATGCAACATCTGATCAGAACAGACAATACTAAGATATTTTCTTATCAGCAGAATGAATCTGGATGCTTCAAGTCCCTTCACCCAAGCAGCAAGAAGTTCTGAGATTCCAAAGTGCAAAGGTCCTGACTGCTAACATACAGTGTAGGAAAAGGCTCGATTCCTCCCTTCCAACACCACCTGTCAAAGAACTGCCTTCAAAAGCTGTGCTTTAAACCCCTTAGGAAATCTCTCTCCAGTTTAGCAACTCAAGTTCCTAAGGTGCAATAAAAGCACCACTGCCCCATGGATTTACCCAATAAATATAGTCAGCAACCAATAAAAAGAAATGGGGAAAGTATTTTTAAAACTTCAATCTCTCCACTAACATCTTTTTACAATTACGATTCTGTGTGTGTATAAACAAAACTCTTAATGAGAAAAAGCATGATAATTTCAACTATTCAATTCTTCCAACTGTATTTTCTTTATAATCCAGACCACGCAACAGGGAAGCAAAGACAAAATAACTTGGAATCAGTCCAAAAATAATTTTGAGTTAAATGATGGGTTTATGGTGGAAGTACTGCCTTCATTATAATATTTACTTAAGAACTTACATAACCAGGGCTCCTAAACGATGCTGTTATGCAGTTATGTCAAGGTCTAAGTAAGACACCCGAAATACTTGTCTAAATCCTGTATATGATTTTGTAAGCTGCTCTCCTCCATCTCAAACACACACCAGAAACTGAGGCTCCCTGTCCAGCCAATTCTGAGGACAAGCAGATTAAATACCATCTCATACACCCAGAATCTGCTGACCAATGATTATTTCATTACAACTAGAGAGCACCACAAGGAAGTCTGTGCCAGATATCCAACTCACATGTGGTTTGTAGACTACAACATTCCTAAGTACGCACCCTTCCAAAAACCAACTCAGAGCAAAGCCAGTGCCCCTCCCACCTATTTACTAAGCCAACTTTTTCTCCTCAACACCTGCCTTAGAAAACAGAGAACATGTAAGTCTGCAGTCAGGAAGCAAAGGTCTTTTTATCCAGGAATGTGAAGAAACTGCCCAAGTGCACAAATGTGGAAAGCAACAGTCTCCACAAAAGAGAAGAAGCTACTGCAATTGTGAGACAGCACAGACACCTTTTCCGTCACAGCTTGAGTTCTCACACCCCTTGTACCAATGGGTCCATAGGAAGAAACCACTGGCAATACACCTTGACAGAAAATAGCTGCCAGACTCAGCATCGCTCAGCCGTGATGCAGGGCCACAGAAGGATTATTCACAGAGGAAAGTCTTCTAAAATGCATCATACCTCTCCCCCAGGCTTTCAATTTTATTATTTCCATTGTCGATACAATAACAAGGGGGAGAAACAGTTGAGGAATTCTACAATTTAAAAAATAATTCTGTAAATAAAGGGAATGATATACTGGGCAGTGAGGGATAAAGGATATAGGAAACCTGCAACACAAAGGGCTGTTGCTTAGCACATACAGCACACTTGGCAGAAACCACAAATAAGGAGGTTTGCTACATATAGTAATGTAATGGCACAAAAAACTCTCTACATTACAACTTGTCAGTGAAATCACTAACAAGTTTAGTAGTACCAAGTAAGCATCCTACACATCTTGGATTTCTCCTCCCTCACAAATATTTATAGGGATTAATGTGTAGTGCATAGCCCATGCTGCTTGTTACTCACAAATTCATGATGCGGCTCTGTCTCTTTCCTCAAAGGTGGATCAAACTTTACTTGGCCAACTAAAGAGGAGAAAAAGAAAACAAGAAGTTGGACTGCAGTTAGACAAGACTTAGCTCCAAAAACTAACAAAAAAGTAAAATTCTGTTTAATGAGTGTATCATATCCCCATTGACAGAAACTTGTGACACATGGACATACCAAACTTGTGCCTGCTAGAAACTAATGGGCACAGAAAGTACTATTTTATCAGAAAGGCAGCCCAATCATCATTTGCCACACCTTCTCATTAGAAGGAATAGGAAAACCACTGAGCAAATAGGGCAGAGAAGTGTCCTCTTTAGAGGTACAATACAGTTGTACCCAATAGAAAAAACTATCCGTGGTGTGAATTCACTGTTGGCTCTGTTCTTCTGAGAGATTCACTAGCATTAGAGTGCTGAATGAAGTTTTATGTGAATTAACTACATTTTCCAGGACAACTCTTTGGCAGGACTTCTCGAACAGTCCTACTGCAGATTTTACCTTAAGAAAAGACAGCTAAATTTCTAAGTATTGCACTGATATAATTCAAGCAAAATAATTACTAGAACTTGGGAGATGGAGTCTGCTTTTAATGGCCAGTGATTAACTTCCACCCTTCCTGACCTCTATGTGATTGCTTCAATTCAAAAGCAAATCCAAGATACTAAATTAAGGAAGAAAAAAGAATCCTTTCTCATTCTGTTACCCAGATGAATCTGGCATTGATCTGAATATCCTTGCTGGAGTAACAAATGAAACTATGTCAATCAGCTCTCAGAAGAGCTCAAGCTGTGTCTTGTTCAATTAAGATGAAGCAATAATGAACTCTGCTGAAGTGCTGAGAAAGGGTGTATACAAATATTTTACAGAACCTATATTTTTAAGTGAAATAATCTAAGCTTTTATTTTCCTATGCATCACTAAAAATGTTTATATGTATGACAGATATCCAAAATACCAGCTGAAATAATATCAATTATTAAATACATCATATTGTCACATTATACATGCTTACAGTTTATTTCAGAGCGTGTCTTTTCTTCTCTCCCATTCCTACTCGTTGAATGAATTCTGTGAGGTACAACAAGAGGCTAGAAGTGAAAAATAAAATATTACCAAAATATACTCACTTGAAACCCTGTCTTGTGTAATCGTTTTTAGCAGGCTTCTTTAGCATAACATTAAAAAAAAAAACAAGTGAAAGTTAAATGTAAAGATTGCATGCATTTTTTAATATACTGAAGTTAGAAATATTTGGAGACATTTTAACTGTTGAGTGCCTTCAGTATAAGGCATTTTAGAACCCTGCATTTGATCAAATAAAGCTAATGCTGGCCAGCATTTTTCTTTGCTCATATAGCATTTTTTTTTTCACCATTCAGTTTAAGGGTATTGGTAGTTTTTAAAATAAGCAGTAAGACTAAATCTGGCTTACAGACAGATTTCATTCCATTAGATAAAAAAATAATTTTCCCAGCTTTTAACTTAAACTGATTTCTAAAATGTCATCAGTTATGTTATTTAAGCAGATGAGAAATCTACCTGAGGTTTTCAAAGCTGAATAGAAAGGAGTAATCCTGGTACTCCTGTGCTGTGAGACAAGAGACAGCAAAATTTCTACAAATTCACCTTCATATTTATATTCCACTTCTATTTTTCCTCTGAATTTCCATTTACTTCTCTACAGGATGAAGTGTTCTGCACTTTAACTTGGGTTTCTTTTTTTGCCTCTGCTGGATTTTATCTCTTCTTTCTACATTCACCACTGCAAGTTCTCTTAGAAACGTGGAGGCATTCTGCACCCTTGTTCACTACCTCAGGGTCCATGGTTAACACCTCTGCACGTGAATCACCCTTTTGTTACTAATACTATTGTTGCTGTACTTTCACAGAGTCATGAATAGCTCAGAAACTCTTGTTTATTCTTCAAATACTATCTGCAAACATGACTTCCCTTCTCCCTTTTTCATCGCACACTACTTCTTTGATTCCTGTTAGGATCCAACACATGTACATGGTGTTTCACCTCCTATTTTTGTTCACTTTGCTCTTCTTTGAAACTGGAGAGACTTACAGTGGATGTGTATTTTCTCCCACATATCTCACCTGAAGATTTTTTACTTCTCACAGCTTGTGTAATTCTTTCCCTTCCACAGTTCCATTCTGTCTATTGTGCACTCTGTGGGCTTCAAAAATACTTGGCTACAGCACGTCAAGATTTGATCTGATACCATAGGCTGGAAGGTTGCTCATTTATAATCTTTCATTAAGAGGCACTGCCCAGTTGTGTCTGATGTGCGTGCATCTGTAATTCCAGCACTAGGAGCCCAGCTGGAGCAGGGGTAGCAGTTATTTTCACCTTTGCAGCAATACCGTGTGAGCACTTGCACCCTGACACAAATGCCTGTGTTGCACTACAGACAGAGCCTTTCCTCCCAACACCTTTTCCATGACCACAGAAATACATCCAGGATCAAATTTTCATCTCTCAGTCATGAGGATAAAGTCCTCGAGTCACCTTGAAATACCTGCACTGACAACAGGCTGATATAAACACCTGACATCTGAGCTGTGCAAGAGGATGAAGCAATGTAGGTTTAACTTCCTGACACAACTGTCATTTGGACACAATTTCCATCATGGCACAGATCTCAAAAGCAATCTTATCCCCAAAACTTGCAGTGTGCTAGGCATAAAACAGGAGCACTTTCCTCTTTGCAAATTAAGTGAAGCCCTCCACGAGCTGGGGTAGGGAAAAACACTGGAAATGTCAGTTTCAGGTACAGTTGCCAAACAGGAGAAGCTTTTCAATTAACCAAATAATGGCATGAGGTTTAGTTTTCACACATTAAACACTTGACCTTTGAGTTTAGAATGATTTAAAGATGCAGTATGGTACTTCCCAGAGTGGTGGCAAATTCAGATCTACTTCATAGCTGTGTGGACTATCCAAGCAGTAATTGATTGTATCCCCTTAAAAGTAGCACAGGCCAAGTGAAGATGTGTCACCACAGTGGGCAGCAGACTTACCTTCGAAGACAAACTACTGACAGAGAGAAAAGCTTTCTAGTCTCCAAAAAAAGAAAAACAATCCACCAAAACCCCTCAAAACATTAATACCACCACTCAAAAATATCCATAGCTCTAAACAAACTGGAGAGTAGATCTGACGCTCCCAATTCTCAAGTGTTTCTGGACTATGTTTTGTGGTAAACTATGTACCACATTTTGTCACTTCTTTTGATTTTTGATGAATGCATTCAGACAATTGTGACAAATAAAGAACAGGTCAATCCCTAAATTAACATCTCCAGCTGCCTCTGTGAGCAATTGAGTTTTGAAGAAAGTTAAACTGTGCATGAAAGAAGCACATACACTTCTTATTCCACTCCTTCTGTTATAAGAAAGACCACAATTGCCAAAGATTGCTCTGCCTGTGGTGAGATTCTTCATCTGAAATATAAAATTTGCTAAGCTTCTCCCTAGACAAGGCACAGTTTTTGCTCCTGATACAACACTTCATTATGGGATAATTAGCAAGTCATATAGTGGACAACAAAACAGCCTTCCTAAGGCTAAGTCACAAGGGATATAAAAGAATGAACACTATTTTGTAAGCTAAGAAACGCCTCTTAAAGGGCCTCAGAGCTCTCACTCATCACTGAGCAGAGAGAGAACTAAAGGACACTAAAGAGCTTATGGTGAGAAGATCCAGGTTTCTCAGTGATGACTCCATGTGGAATCAGATACTTTCTCTTAAGTGACCTGAAAGCCAACCACATTAAGGGATTTCTTGTGTGTTTGACTTTTATTTTTTTTTAATCAGAAAAATCTACTAAATTTTTCTCCCACTCCCACTGTGTACATTTGCTTTTACAAGTACTATTATTTCATCCTTGGCCTTCATCTCTTTCCCTTTCATTTGGAAAATGTGTAAGCACTAGACGCTGTAACACAAAAAATTATCTATTTCACTTTGGCTTCTTTCCACACTTTTTATTTTAGCTTTTAAGAAAGACTTGGCACAAGTCAACTAATCTTTGTTGCTTGAGGGGGTAAAAGCTCATTTAACTCGTAAAATCTGAAATTTAGTCCCTTAAATTAGTTGCCTCTTTTAAGCCTTTCCTCTGAAGGCATTTTTAGACTAGTTTACTCATTAAAAAGAACCAAAAATATGTAACTAAGGAATCAATGGCATTTGTGTTAAAATTATTACATTTATTCTTAAAAAAAAAAAAAAAAAAAAAAGACTGTCAGAGAACTGTAAACATTTGGAAAGTATTCACTAACGTGCAGAAAAGTATGAAGATGGGATGAAGTAATAGAATACCTATCTCTTTTCTCTTATTTAAACAGTTTAGTCCTGTACTGTTTAGCATCTTATATAAGCAGGCTATGTTTTCCCAGCTGTTTGAGCAGAAAATCAGAAACTCTTTGACAAAACTGTAAGTGAAATCAAGTTTCAGAGTATTCTAAGATGGAAAAATACAATCTGCAAAAAACACAAATCAAACCATTGAACAAAAACAACTACAAGATCATTCTCTCCTACACAGGTATAAAATATTTTTTATTAATGTTTTCTTTGCAGATGGAAACATAACTCCACAAAGAAACATACAGCAGAATGCATGACAGAACTCAGGACGGGAGAAGCAAAACACATTTAGTGTTTCAAAATTGTTGAGGAATAGTTATAAACAAAATTTTAAAGTATTGAAATCTCCTTCTCTTCAAGCTTCCCTTCCCAAAATTATGATTTTTGCTAAGTGCCTGTATGAGTGACAGAGCAGCACTTTACTAAAAGTAAAAGCAACCTTTGAGACTATTCCCAGATCACAAAAAATTTTGAGGCTCAATAAATCACAATAATTTACTTTCGTTGATAAAAGAAACCTTAATCTGATTCTATGATTAAAAGACATTCTTACCTCAGGATCATCATCATCAAAATCATGGTAAGTGGAATGATCAGGATTATTCATTTTATCCAAAAGTTCAATGGCAAGACTTCGATTTAATGGCTGGGTAACAAAGGGATGCTGAAAGACAGAGGGAAACCCAGAGATTTAAATTCTAGACACTCACATTAAGCATATTTTAATTTTGTAACTTTAAAAAAACCCTCTCATACATAAATTTATACCTGTAGCAACTTTTCAGCTGTAGGTCTTTTTTTAGGATTTTTTGTAAGTGCCATTTTCACAAAATGATGGAAACTATTGGACCTGTAAAACAAAGTGCTAAACATTAAAGTCAATTTCCCAGTACAGTACATTCATTATCTACTGAAACAAAAAAGTACTTACCATTTCATTTTGTCCTTTAATTTAGGAGGCTGGAAGTTGCTTTTTGTCATTAGAAAAAGTGCTCTGAAAAAAAAGAACAGCATTTCTGTGGTTACGCTGCAATACACGTGAGATAAATCATTAAACACTTCATTTAACAGCCAGGAAGAAGCCCCATGAGTTCAAAAGATTCAACAAGGACTTTATACACATAGGCACCAGAAGAAGTTGTTAAAATTTCTGTCCTGTTCACTCACAACACTCACAGCCCAGTGCCCCTGCAGTCCACCCAAGACCCACCAACACACAGAGCCATTTCTTCAAATTGATTATTTAATTAGCTGCATTTATCCACCAAGCTCTAAACCCCTCACTAACCTCATTGGATGTAGGTCAAACATTGGAGGCTGAAGTTCAGCAAGCTCTATTGCAGTTATTCCAACTGCCCACAGATCACAGAGTTGGTTATAGCCACCTTTCCTTTCTACTGCAGCAACTTCTGGTGCCATCCTGAACAGTAAAAGACATTTTCAGGTGAACTTCTCACCACAAATCAAACATTCTTTGCACACATAGTATACTCTTCCTTATAGCTCTCAATCTATAAGGTCACAGTATATACATGCAGACTCTTATCTAAGAGCGTGTGTAAAAAATCATGTGATGCACACCTTAAGTTTTCCCTCAGTCATCTTCTAGTAACTAATAGTCAGTTTCTAAAATGGTCATTTAGGATTAAGTGGATGAAATCAATCTCTCAGACTAAATACTGCTCAACAGCCAAAGAGCCTGAAGTATAATTATTCAACTACAATAAAATCCACATAATCCTTACACATTGTCCTGAAAGTGACCCACTGACTTTGAAGAAAAGCATTCCAACAAGAGAAAAAGCAACAAAATGTCAGCTTTCTCGTATCCCAAAAGTATGAGACTCTGTCACCTCTGTATAGAGCACTCCTTGTTTGTAAAGTCTGTCTCACTCATGTCAGGCGACCTCTAAGTCATCGAAGTGGTTTCACGTTCTCAGGTGGCAAAAATGAACAAACGTAACTGGCACATAAATAGGAATACCTAAAGGAAATTATTCACCTTGAATTGTCATGTGTTTTGAGTGGCCAAAGCGAATTATGAATTTGATTGTCCTGCGTAGCCCTACAAGGTGGCCAACATGTTGGTATTTATTAGCTTTGAGCTTTATCAATCCAGATCCCCTGAAAAGTAGCACAAAATAACTCAATAAATGTAACACAGATGAAGTTACTTAGAGAGTGGTCCAGTAGATCAGCAAGTAGCATCTCAACTGATGCATTATTCGAATACAGAAATCCTGTGGTCACAGCACCAATCCTGCCAGAGCTCAAAAAGTGTTTGAACAATGCTCTCAGGCACATGGTGTGACACTTGCGGATGTCATGTGCATGACTAAGAGCTGGACTCAATGACCCTTGTGGGCTCTTTTCCACTCCTTATCTGTAGATCTGAAAATATCAGCAGGTTTGGTGGTAGAACTTCACGTTTGCATAACTAAACTGCATTTGGATACATTTCTTCTAGAGTTCATTAAAAGTCCCAATCACTCGAAATCAAAAATAAGGAGTTACCACAGGAGAGGGGGAACATGGATTAAACATTAAAATGGAAGGGTTACTAGCACTGCAGTCCACCTGCCTTGAGACACAGGTAGATCTAATGACCACTAAAACCTTCACATGGTCTGTTTCAACTAAATTTTCTTCTCTGCAATCTCAAAAATTTGCTTCCTTGGTCCTGCTCTCAAATCTCTCCGCTTTGCAAAGAACAACCAATGCTTTTCATCAGCATTTAACCTATGTAATACTTTCAAAGTTATAATTTAAGGTCATTTGAGAAGCCTGGCACGATTTAGGAAGTTACAGCCAAGGACAGAGGTCACCCAGATATTTTGGGAAAGAGACACAAACCAACCACACAATCATGACTGATGGGTGGTTGTGTTATTCTGAAAGGGAAGTGAAGCCTTGGTGTGAAGAAGAATGCTAAATATACTATGCTTGGCTATTTCAGGTCGATACTTGAACATAGGGGTTTTTTTTCATTATATATATTTTTATCTTGCACCTACCATGTTGTCAGACTACAGAATTTCAGTATCTGTCTGTGAAACATGACAAAAGTGCTGTTTTACAGTGGAGAATGTGTCTCCTTTACTTGAAGGTAAAAGGGGACAACCACTTCCCGTAGGAAAAGGATAAAATGAAAGGATAAGATAAGAAAATGATACTCAGTAGTTTAAAGGGGAAGAATAGAGATGCAGTACAGATAGAATGGTAGAATTCAATCAGTTTAGGTAAATAAGGGAAAAAAATGGCTTAGAGAAACACTTCACAAGTCTGTGGATCTGTGAAGGCAAAGGAAACTCATCAACTGAGAAGTTGTAAAAAAGCTGTATCTAGGCTGGAGGGGAAATAACATTAAACACCAAAATGGAAAAATCAGGGAATAAAAAATTATTTAAGATTAAAGTTAAAAACAAGCAAAATTGCTGCTAGTTTTTAGGTTTTACTAAATTAAGATAAACGAGTCAACAGTGACGGCACTACACAACCTTTCAAGTTTTCAGCCTTTTAAAGCCTTTTCTCTGACACTGAGCTAATTCAGAATTTAGAATAAGTAACACAGATATGATCACCAGAAAGTCTGACACAGCCTTTAGTGGTTAGTCTACCCAGGAAGTGATAGCACATGCCTTTATCACAGTATTTTCAACAGTATTTTACGTGTTACCATTATATTAATGGTCAAGTAAAACACAGTTACCAATACGGGGTGCCAATGAATGATTTCCTTTTGGCAATTGTAGCCGTTATCTGTGCAGACACTCCAAAATCAGCTATTAAAAAAAAAAAAAAAGAGAGTTAACAAGTAATTTGATGTAATTAATTGTTAATGAACACAAGTATGGTTTCCCCAGTATTAAGAGGTTCTTAAATATACTGGAAATATTTAACAAAAAATAAGTACCAAAAGCAAATAATAGAAACTTGGTCTGTCTCAGATACCATTGATCAGCTCTCCTCAGCCACTTGCCAAACATGCACACAAATGTCCCTCATCCATACAGGGCTGGCACAGAAGATCTAACAGGTACATGAGGGGTTTTAATAAGACAGAACACGTCATTTTGGGTTACGAAAGAGATTCAGATAAGCTTTCAAGATACATTTCACATTTAAGGACTCTGGATAGAAGATTTTATTAAAAATTTATAAACCCCTGTGATTTGACTTTTATATTTCTCTTACAATATCAGGTCTTTTACCTCACTGCTCCAAAATTACTCCAACTAATCCTCAGATACTAAATGGATGGTTTAGTTAGATATTACCAGCAAGATAAAAAGAATTCTGATATTCACAAACTCCTTACATGAACCATCATCTCATTAAACAAAGCAAAGCATGCTGCTTCTTAGAGCACATAAAAATATTAATTTTTAAGCACTAAGATGTAGTAACTCACCTAATTTTACATGTCCGTTATCCGTTAAAAGAATGTTTGCTCCCTTTAAAAAAAGAAAAGTTTACTTGAATTAAAACATGCTGATTTCTCCAATATCACATTAAAAAAAAGAAATAGGTGGGATCTTACAGCAAATTAGGGACCAAAGACAAAGCGAGGATTGTATTCAATAAATCTGCAAATTTATCAAGGAAATGTTTGATAATTAGCAAGCTGCCACTCTGTTATTAAAAAAATCTTCTTGGATATAGTGTTTTTCATAAATTTTTAGTTTAGCCTATGGTCCTAACAGAATTTACATTGCACACAAAACCTCTCAATAAACAGTATTTGACTGTAATGATACTTTTTTCTATTTACAATGACTCAGAGGAAACAGGAACTCAAAAGGTCAAAGTGGAAACAATTTCATTTTCTTTTCATAAGTAGGAACTCATTTTGTCTTGTTTAAGAGCCATGCTTATAATTATAGCCTTAAGGACCTGCCTCAATAATCAAGCATTTAGCAAAGCTACTTCCGTCCTTATACAACAGAGATTCTGCTCGTGCTGGACTGGGAGAGGTCATAAGTGAGTGTGTTCCACTCACTTCAGCTCAATAACCAAAATTAATCCAAAGTAGAGGTTTGTATTACAAAATTACAGGATAAAAGGACTAAGAACAAACAAAGAGTTGAAGACGGAAACTAGGTACAGGTTGAGCTGAGTGAAGGTTAGAGCTGGCTAAACACAGATCCAAACGCCTGTACTGCACTGCCCTTCAGACAGAGGGAAAGGCAGCAGAGATGAACCTCCAAAAACGTGTTTTTACAGATTATGGCTTTTCCCAGAGCAGGAAAAGTCAGGCCTGCAATAAAACGCAGTTAACTTGGCCCATGCTGCACAAGCACAGTTAATGAGTTTGGCAAACACTGTAAGAACCCTGCTTACACGCTCTTGACCTTTTTCACCTTTCAAGATAACAGGACAGGTACTCTAAACATGGAACTTAGCTACGGAGGGAAGCAAACACAATTCAACAGACAGGCAATCTCCACATGAAGACAGTAATTTTCCATGCTCATGAGAACAGCTTTATTTAAAAAGAATCCTTTCAATGTAAGCACTGTAAACATTTGTTATTACCATAGTTCTGCTTAGAAAAAGTATCCGTGCAGTGTATCTTTACAAGCATTCTAAAAAGCAGAGTGGAAAACACTTAATTTTGGTGCCTGAAGTAATCTTTCATACAGAAATTACTTTTATGATTGCTCAAAACCCCAATTACTTTTGTGATTGCTCAAAACCCAAACATTCTTCTGCAGCCGTTGAGAACAACTTGGAATCAGGCTGCATGAAGGCAACTACAGTTGAAGCTGCTGGGGGAAAAAAAACCAAAACCAGCCAAACCAACAGCATGCAACAACACAAAAGAATATGATGATTTACTGTCAGATTTCCAGGAGGAAGCTTGCCAGGTTTGGAGGAGCTTTGGAAAGACTAGGTAGTAAAACTTCAGGAACAAAAAGTCAACAGGAAGCACCAGAGTAACAGAGTATAAGAGTCTGAACATGCCACTTCAGATATAGTTTTGCTGAGATGGAGATTTAAGTCAGTACTAATAGCCTGATTTGCAGCACCCTCTCTATTTTTAACATGTGAAGGAGGGGACAGAAGTAGTCTCCAGGAACTGCACAGAACAGTAGCCTCTGCCCTGCAATCTGCTCACCATGATGCAAGAAGCCAAAGCAAGAGCTCTGCTCACTAGCTGGTTCAAAAAGAAGGTATATGGAGCTCCCTGGAAAAGCTGTGGGAAGAGCAAACCTTTCTTTTGCACAGAGCACAAATCCTGAGAGTCATCTGAACACATACTCCTCTGGACACCAGCTGATGGCTAAATTTCACAGCACTGATCCACATAAACATTATGTGTGGCTCCAAGGAAAAGAACAGACTATTTCCTTCCATGGATTTTTAAGAAAGATTTTTTTCTTTCCTTGGGCAGAAACTTTTATTTCATTCTAATAGATTAAAAATCTCTACATATTCAGAAATGTACTTAAAATTTATATGCAACAGTGAAGACCACTGGAGGTGATATAACCTATTTTAAAAGCACCAAAAACCCCTTCAGTTTTTACTTACCTTTATATCTCTGTGCATTTTTCCTTTACTATGAAGGTAATATAGTCCCTGCATAAAATATTTAAAGGGTAATTTAGTCCAACATTTTTCATTTGACATACATTTCTTATTTAATTACCACGTATATTTAGGATCCAATTTAATCTTTGAAATGATTCACTGACTGAAGAACATTTTTATATTTCAGTGTAATTTGCTGCTAATTTGCAGATTCAATAGATGTAGCACCATATCTAATATCTTTATATAAAGTAGCATACCGAAGTATCTTTATAAAGAGATATTTAGACATTTATCTAGTATCTAAAACACAGGATAGATGGAAGTAAGACACCTACTGGAAGAAGAGTATTCCCCAAACAGGTTTTCCTTTGGAGATGGCAACTGCCATCTTTACAGACCAAAGTAATTACTGTTAAACTGCCTAGGAGTCTTCTTCTATTCAGCAGTTAGATCACAGGACCACTGGTAAAGCTATCTCCTATATCATTACATATTTCAATCAAGCCTAGAAACGTGCTAGCAGGCAGTGCTTCGGGTCTAACACCAGAGTTCAACTCTATTTCATGGATTTCTGCAAAAGCATTCAGCCACCCAGGTCTCAATGACAGTACCAAAACATATTAAGACTCAACACAGGTTAGAAACTAAGGTTAAATTCTGAAAGAATTTTGCAGAACCAAATCCCTGCCTGACAAATGAGAGACCATGTCACTTTGGAGACTTTAGGCTTAACTCTAAAATTCTCATCCGGGATAAAATCACACACAAGCATCTTCATTGCTCTGTGACCATGAACAAGGCTTTACGTTCATGGGAAATATCCATGTCGAGACTCGTATTTTTTTGCCAGTTCATGCAAGACATCAGAGAGTTGATTGCAAAATGTAAAGCGCAATTAATCAAAGCATCTACCAGACCACTGCAAAGACTGGCACTAGGCAGAGAGTCCCAGGTACACTCCTTGAATCTCTGGATACTACTGGCATACAAAGGCCATTAATTCCCACTGCCCTGGAAGCATGTGAAGTCACCATTTTCAAAACTGAATGTCTGGAGACAATTACTTTAAAGGTCCTATTTAAAAGATCCATATTTTCAGAATCAAATCTCACGGATTCCAGCAAAATGGACAACAAGTATTTTTTCAAAACGGAGGATTCAATGGGCTTCCAAATATGGAGACTGAATGTTAACTTCAGCATCCAAGTGAGACACTGGATTCATGGACACTGGGGGCAAAATTAATGTTGGAAAAATTACATCTATGGACAGACAATAGCCTATATTCTCAGACTTCTTACTTGGGAAAATGGTGTTCCATTATAAGCACAACAAGATATCTGAAACTACATGCATTATATTTGGTCAGAATTATTATAAACATGTATTCACAGGCAATTTAAAATATAGAAAAATGGGTAGCATTTAGAAAATTACTAACAATTTAGAATAATAATTTCAATGAATAATATTTAGAAAATACAAAATAGTAAGCTTTTTTCTTACACAATTTATACATATTAACATGACAACCAAGATATCTTCCCACACAAATAAGTGGCTTTATAAATAGGATACTCACTTCTCCATACCTAAGAAGATTATGGATTTGATTGATGGACTATCTGGTGGGAAAGGAATTTCTAAATTATTGTATCCAGAGAGCAGTGGTAAACAAGCTCAATGTCCAGAGTGACAAGTGATATCCCTCAGAGTCCCACACCAGACTATGTAATATCTACATTGTTGATATGGACAGTGGGATCAAGGGCATCCTCAGCAAATGTGCAGAGGTCTCATTTGAAAGATGAGGACAAACTTTTTATCAGACCCTGTTGTGACAGGACAAGACGTAATGGTTTTCAAGTAAAGGAAGGTAGATTCAGATTAGATATACGGAATGATTATTTTATAATGATGGTGATGAACTACTGGAAGAGGATGCAGAGAGAGGTGGTGGATGCCCCATCTCTACATTCAAGGACAGGCTGGACAGGGCTCTGAGCAACCTCATCTAGCTGAAGAGGTCTTTGCTCATTGCAGGGGGGTCTTTAAAGGCACCTTCTAAAGCCAGCCATTCTACAACTGTCTAAGAACAAAAGGGTTTAAAGACTCAAAACTCTTAATACTCCCAGATGTAAAATAAGCCTGATCTGTAAGTTAAGAAAAAGCACCACATCCTGTAAGTCAGAAGGCAGCAGTTTCTGGCATAGCACAGGGAGATGGTGAGTGACAACCAAAGGAGATGGTCTGGAACAGACCTATCTTGAAAGAATGCGAGAGGCAGCAAGTCTCAACCAATGGTCTTTAACAGGTTTGTGTTCACTACAAGTCAAGAGCTGCTCTCTCTCAGAGAAGCAAGACATCCATCAAAACAGCAGTTTCTGATTAAGTTTTACTGCTGTACTGAACCTGTAATTTAGGAAAGAATAATGAAAGCTAGCATACCCACAAGGAGAGGCTAATGACACATCTCAAGCGTACAGGCAATTTTTTCTTATTGACACAGATCAATTATTAGATATGCAAAACTGAGTGCTTTAGTTTTCTTTCAAACGTGCAGTAACTAATTTATACCATAAATATGGACTAAGAAAACTGCTAATTAAATGCTGTTTCCCTCCTTTTAAAAACAAATATAAAATTAACAGCAGAAACATGACAAGAGCTTTCTTCAAATGATCCAGGGTGATTTGAGGTTATGCAATTATACAAATTTCTAGGCTCCAATATGGAACCTCTTCAGAAGTGTGAGAAAAATGCTGTGTCATCCAATTACCAGACTGCCGTGGCATTACATGTTTGTAGCTCTTATTCTTAGCTTTTAATACTTCTACATTAAAAGACAACCACAAGAACCTGAGGAGACACTACCTGTAGTGTTTCTCTGCTAACATAGGCAATCTGCTGCTCTGATAGTGGTCCAGTCACTGAAATGGAAGGGAAAAAGATAAAAAAAATTCAAAAGCAGGTAAGATACTACCCATTCCAAATTCATACCTCAATTACTTCCATTCACACTGATAGGATCTTACACTAGAAGTCTCTAAGTAAATGTGCTTAGTCTTTACCCCAGACTGAGTGTCCCAAAGACCACAGCATTTTTTAAAGTCAAAAATGTCCAGTACTGTTGGAATGGAAACTACTAATTCTTCTGCATTTAAATATCACAGTAATTAAGAGGAAAAAGAAGCAAAAGTAATGATTTAAGCCTCTTTTCCCTCAACAAACCCATTGTGTTCTTCTATAGAGGGCTGGACTTTCAACTCCGTGACTCAGAGCTGCAGCCAACTCTGTTCAGTTCCCTTTGAGCTCTGGGCAGGTCTTTGTACCATCTGTGACCTGGTTTCTCCTTCCATCCTTCCCACTGCCAGAGAAAGGCTGAGAAGCTGGAACTTTCTCTGAAATCAGATGTCAGCACTGCTACTCCTGCACCTGCCACACCAAGCACCTTCTCAAACTCCCCCTGTAAGCAGGTTCAGCAGTTTCCCAAGACAGGAGGAGTCTTTCTCTCCCTCGAGGGTCCAACTTCACTCGTCTCTTAGAGGAAAACAATTAAATTCTGAACAAATACACAAACCAAACAGTGAGCAGCAAGCAAGGAACTGTCTGTAACTCGTCCCAGTCACTGGACTTTGATCCTGAAATTAAAGGGGTTTAAGACCAACAAAGGCAGTCCTGGCTGTAAGCTTTTCAGGTTTTGAACAGAAAACAAACTTGGAGTTGGATGGAGTTTCTCAAAGGACACTGAAGGAGTAGAGAGTTAAGAATGAATCTAGATTAAATAATTTAACTGCTTAGCTTCTACAATATTAGTATCATGCAACATATCTTCAAATTAAGTCTACATCCAACTTCTCTTTCTTGAAAGAAAAGCTCCAAACCCACACAAAACTATATCTATTTACACCCACGATAGGCATATCTAGGCATTTATTTTTGTTTTGAGAGCTTTCATTCTGATTAACTTAAATGACTCGAGATTACAGAGGTCTATAGTTCAATTGGAATAGGACTCTTTAGAACATAAAGACCAGAAAAGAACTTTCCATTCTGACTATCATCAACCAATGGTAAATGGAATGGGAAACCATTCCTGTAGAATGGGAATGGGAATTGCAATGGGAAACCATTCCTGTAGACATCTGCTCAGACATTTATGTGGCATGAGCTCATTTCCTACTCTACAGGTATTCCACAAAATAAAGCCTATTAAACACGATGCTTTTCTCAAAATTAGCCAAGAGGTAAAGAATCATCAAGGCCACACTCCAACAACTGTGACAGGAACATGGTGTGTACTTGTGAATTGGTGCTTCTTTTAATTGCATCCAAGATAAACATAAAAAACTGCTTATGCACAAGAGACCCTCACGCCTTAAATCTTCACCATTTGTAATATAGATGGACTTCCTCAATTAAAAACATCACCTGAGAACCCCAAAGCCATTACTCACTTAAAGCATACTCCTTTCGTAAAAAAGGCTTAATTCCAGGGCAATAAAGTCCTTCAAAACTGATTGTCTCTCTTAAAAAATAGCAGGCAGTTGACCGATCTGTCTTTATTCAACAGATTCACAGAGAGCCCTTGTTTCTTTCACTGCTCACTGAAGCCAAGCCTAAAGCAAATATGGAGACCAACTTTGCTTTTCACACATCCAGCTTAAAAAAACTGAAAAATATTTTAAAAGATCCTCATGGAACTACTGGTATACAAACATTCAGTTTACAAAGGACAAGAGCATCCATGCAAATCAATTCAAATACCTAGGTTTCTATAGGAAGTGGTACATATTATACTAAAACAAAGTTCAAAAGTTCAGAAATAAAATGGCTATGAAGCAAGACAGCACACCAAGACATCAATTTTTTTCTCTTTACAATGTAATACTGTCTAATTTTACAGACTTTCAAAAGCAGTGATGGGCATATGAGCCTCTGAAGAATGGAAATAACTTCTGCTGCTAAAAAAATACCCCACTAACTTTGTTTACAAAACCCAAACCAATTAAGAAAAAAATAGGATAAAACTGACCTTGAATAAATTATTATGGATACTAAATTTAGGATTCCTCCTCTCTAATTCCAAAACAACGCAATCATTTCAACTTTTGAAAATAAGCAGTACTTAGATTCTAAGGAATAAAGTCCTGACGTACCATGGTAAATATCCTGTAGAGAGCCACCTCCACAGAACTCCATGCAAATCCATAGCTTGTCTCGTCTAAAGAGTGAACAAAACCATTCAGTAGTTGTCAGCTTTGCAGAGGAGTTGTAAAAGGTAAGTCAGAGGACTCAAACACTATAAAGCACAACACAACATGCTCTCTATTATGGAAAGTACATTTCAAATAATGAGTATAATTCAGTCTTTATGTGACACTTCACTGTCTAAATAGTAACTAATGAAATAGTAAAAAATATTCTACTTTAATGAAGCAATAAAAACAGTATTAGTGAAACATTCACACTGATTTTTGTTAAAATACATTTTTCTGAGAGTAGAGACAAAACAGATGTGGGTTCCTATTTCTTCCTCATTTTCACTTCTCCACTTTTTTCAGAGCATAGGAGTTAACACAAGAAACAAATACAACAAAAAGCCCCAGGGGTCTCTCAACCAAATGTCTTTCACAGCAAATTAAGTGAAACTGTAGTGCTTCAGTCAAAGCTGGGCAGAGCAGAGCCCATGCTGTGGGTGCCTGCTCAGATAAAGTCTTTCCCTTCAAAAATACCTATGGATATTTTTGGTGGCAAGGTCAGAAGGGAAGTTATCGAGCTCCTCTTCCCTTACTAATGTAATCAATTCAGTATGATTCACTGTACCCCCATAAAAGCTGCTTTCTAAGAATAGACAATGGGTTGAAGGATTCAAAGGTATCTTCTATTACAGCCATTAACTCTATTTTCACTCAGTAATTTTCATTGGTAAGACATGTGCCCACAAAAAGGACGGCGGAGAGCAAAAGGTCTGGGACTTCCCTAGTCATTCCTGGCCATCAACATACTCAGGTGGAAAAAAAACCCCATCCTGTACAACCACCTTAGAGCAGACGGTAACACAGGAGAACCAAAGGAAAGACTGATGGCTGTTTTGCAGCTTCCTGATTACCTGCTCTTGTGTGTCTTGCATTCCTAAGGCTCTGTCAGAACAGCTGAGACACATTTTTGCAAGGCAATGGTGGAAGTGCTGAGCTTATCTACTGAGCTGCAAACTGCAAGTGTTCTCACCAGCAGGTGACAATTAGAATAGCTTGCTGCTCCAAGAACTGTCTTTCTTGGATGTCTTCCCCTTTTATGCCCAGAGTGCACACCGCCCTCAAAGCTATATTCCCAGCTGCTTCCTCTAGGGGTGGGAAAGGTATTGCCCAAGCTCTACAGGAGTTTTAAGCAGCAGAATTCCCTGCTGTTAACTCCATTCATTTCAAGGGGTCAATTAAAGCCTTGTTTGCAATAATATTAAAGCTTTCCACTGGAATAGCTGACCAAAGCCAGACATACAAGCAGTGTGACAACCCGTGCAAGAAAACTAAGAAAAAAAGCACTGAAGAGACATCTCCAAGACCCTTCTTTGTTCCCCACAATGAAGCAGGACTCAGGGACACTTTTGGGGGCACTGGACTCATGGGCCCATGTGCCTGCATCCTATTTGATGCCAAAAGTGGCAGCAGTGTGAAGTGGGAAGAAGCCAGAACTCTCCCAACAGCCTTGGGACAGCAGCAGAGCACCCACAAAGTAAGAGATATAAATCATTAACGTGTTGTAAATTCTCACTTTTGCTTACTGGGCATTTACTTCCCACTTGCAAAAGCCCTACAGAAAATAAAAAAAGGATGTAAGAGGATCAGAAGAGGTGACTGCATTTATTGTTTTCTATCTAGCCTGTTATCACTGTGCCTAAGCACTTTGAGACAGATGAAGATCCCTGCAACATCCAAGAGCAACCATGTAGAGTCTCTTTTTCTGCAGAGCATTCGGCCTGAGCAGCAAGCAAAACAGAGATAGGATCAACAGAAGCATTGCAACTTAACACCCAGGCTAATAGGAAGGCAGAAATGCCACTGTCTGAAAAACGCCTACACAAACAGAAGAAATCCTTGGGGAACAATACACTGGTGACAGCAAGTATAGGACAATAGCACTTTGGTTATTCTTGGAAAACAAAAGGTCAGACAATAAAAAGTCTCAAAGACAGTGACTTGGATTGCCCAGACAACAAAGAAGCACTCTGCCAAAGAAAGAGGAGGGAACCAAGGAGGAGTGCAAGACGGTGACAAAATATATAGCACATTTGCCAAAATTTAATTCTGGGTCTCCAAAGATATACTTTGACAGTCTGAGACAAGAGGGAAACTTTTCTTTTAAAGAAAAAGCACCTCCAGCCTGAATATAGGAGAAGAGGCAGTGTTTCAATACAAAAATGCTAAAGACAGTTGAGTGCAACAGTAGTAGTTGTGCACTACCTGTTTTCAAATGAAAATTTTAAAAATCATCAGAAGCAGCTTTTTATTAGTTATACTAAGCAATCTGTTCTCACTATGACTGGTTAAAAGAAGTAGCTGGAAAGACAACTGAATACATTTGTCAATGTCTCTACAATGCAAATAACCTCACCTCCAGAAACAAACACAAAACCTTCACATTCTGGTCAGAAGTTCACATGCTGGAAAAACAAACGTTCTACTGAAACAGATTTAAAAGATACTATATACACAGACTCTTCATACTTGTCATACTTCTGCTTAATTTTCCACTTATATATCAAACTCAAAGCTTTTAAGCATCAACTAATTTGCAAGAAAACATGACTACATGGTCACTGAACAGTTTTGCTGTAAAAGATTATTTAGAGAGAGACACTGTAGTAAATAGAACGGATCTGAAGGTGAATAAAAACATTACACAAGTGGATAATACTTGGTAAATTATATTTTGCCTATGTCACTTTTTAGATTTGTCCTTTACAAGGGGACAGGGACACACTTTTAAGTGAACAAAAGAAACAAACTGTACCTGAGATAGCTGCCAAAATAAGCAACAATGTTCGGATGTTTACAGTCTTTCATCATAATGATTTCCTGCTGCACAACAGCAAAATCTTCCCCTGAAATGCAGTAGAATGAGTATTTTCTTTGGCCTGGGTTATAGTCACAACTGTTAGCACATGCTTACAAAATAAACATTCTTAGTATTAAGACTAACTATCTGAAAGTTTCACAGACATAAATCCGCTGTAAATCAGTATTTATTAGCAAGGGCTCAGCAATAAGTACGACATTCTTAAGTTTCATTCTGGGACAGATGGACCTCACATCTGCTGATAGCTCTTACACAATATTTGCCATAGCTCTTTCTCAAGTCGTTATTTTCCCTGAGACTCCACTGTGTCCAGTGGCATAAGCCCTGCCAATAGCCTGGGTTTTTAAAAACACAACAAAACTTCGCTATTTTTGGCCACATGCCCACACCAGTTAGCTCATCTTCCTAAGCAAAAAACCCAAAAACATAACCAGCCACTAGTAGGCTGCTGCAGCAACATTTCAGGAGACTCCACAAGAACGTGAATTCATGGACTGTGAGTAACTTACATCTAGAAAACATTGACAAAGATGTGGCATTTATCTGAATCTCAGCATTTGGTACCATGGTTATCCCAGTCTTTCTATTAAAGGTTCTTACCAGATGTGTACACTGAGAAAATAATGTGTGAAACTGAAAACACAGCTGAGATGTTTTATTTTTGGAAATGTTTTAAGTTTTTCTCAGTACATTAATATACTGATGACCTATTGTCCTGGGGTGACTTAGTCATGTTGAATTGTATCTTCATTTCTCTGTTAAGCCCGGAAATAAGTTTTGTACCTTTAAGGTTGGATTTGAGAGTGGAGGGCAGGGGGAGGGGAAGGAGGAGAAACGGTGGAATGTCTGAGGCAATTGTTTTCAAAACACAGAGATAGGAGTTCCAGCATCTCATCTCCTGGACTATATCACCGTGGTTGACAGTGGAGAGAGCTCTCCTTTGATTTTACGTAGTTTTTGACTAACTGAAGCAGAGAAGTTCCCCGGAAAGTTTTTCTTTCCGTTTTTCTTCCCTGGAATTATTTGAACCTGCTCTGGACTGAGGACCCAGGGGGAAGCACCAGGAGCTTGCACCTGCAGCCCACCGAGGCCTGGGCAGCGGCATTTTCCAGCGCCGGAGGGACTGATAACAGACTGAGCCAAGCTACCACCCACAGGAGAGAGACTTCCTGAATTTGTCATCTCTTCAGAGCAGTGAGAGGTTTTGTTGTTTGGTATTGTTCATTTTTTTGTGCTGGACAGTGCTTTGCCTGTTGAATAAACAGGTTTTTTCCACTTCTCTCTGAGGAAATTTCTTCCCGAACCAGTTGGGGGAGGGGCACTTGGGTTTGCTTCCTGGTGGGGGCCCTTTGGAAGTTTTCTCCCAAATTTGCCCTAAACAAGAACACCTATCAATGGAGTTATTTATAACCACAAATACAATATTCCCATGCATTTTATTTAACTGACAGCAAATTGAAAATCATAAACTGCAAGTTAACATCTATCTGTAGTGTGTTGCTGATGGCTTTCTGTCGCCTGGCTAGACTTTTAAACGCACAGACACTAAAGAATAGAGAAATTTATTTTTACACATGGACCTCCATGAAAGGACACAATTCCTCCAGTATGTGACCTGCATTTTCACCGCATTCAAAATAAAGTAACGTAAAGCCTTAAGTCCCTAAACACTGTTAACCCTGAGTCTGCACACTGTACCCGCAATCTGCAAAACTTCCAAACAGGGCAGCTGAAGCCTATTCTCTGAGCACCACTCAGGTGTCCAAAGGCTGCCAAAAAATATTTAAATTCAAGATGCCAACTGTTGACCCATTACCACAGCATGGGAGCAAGCTCCCCAGGCTGCAGGGCATCCCCAGGCTCTGCCCACAGCACAGTTCTCATGCTCAACTTAGCTGGACTGATATCCCGTATCATGCACAGCAAAGGACTCTAGCAATGGGAACTGACATAAAAACAAAGAAGCAGAACTAGACAGGAGCATCTGAGATCACACTTCCAGTGTGAGGAAAAGAAGTGTGATTAACATACACTTTCTGAACTACCTAGTAACATACTGTCCTGTCTCGAACTTTTAAATGTGTATGCTGCGAAAACACAACATTTCTAACCGCTTCCAGAATGGTAAGGGAAAAAATGGAAAAAACTAATACCTTCTTTCCCTTCTTGCCCACATACACCTTAAGGATCAAACTAGGCAGTTAAAATATTACACACACCCCAACATTAAATCTGTAAATGAAACACCAACAGTTAGAAGTTTAAAAGTCTGGATGTTTTACTTCCCAGATTACTCCTATTCAACAGGCTACTCTTATTAATAGAACAGACTTTGCAGGCTGAGAACTGATCTGTAGGGCACATGTGCTTTGTGAAATCACCACAGAAGCACAGTGCAAGCATAAATCTAGCAGACAGAGCCCCAAAAGATTTTCAGGAAATGTACTCAACTCCTGGATACTAACGTTCAGGTATTATTTCACCCTTCTTTTTAGTTCTTCCTCTACTCTTTTACCAGGCGAGTTCCTTTTGCTTTGCTGTCTTCTTTTGTTCTAGAAATTTTTGTAACACATGTGTAGAACACAGTACTTAGGACAAAAAAACCCCCACAACTCTCAGTGAAATTTTAATCAGGTTTCACTTAACTGTTCTCCAATTGCATTTTTCCTCTTACATCTTGTTTGCTGTGATTTTTTTTTAGAACAGTGTATTTTTTCCCACACCAGAAGTAAATAATTATCCCTTCTTTCAATAAGTGGACTTGATTGATTTTGTACAATTGTTATCTTAAGCACAAAAATATTTCGTTTCTGTGGCCTACTTCAGTTAAGAAATCACTTACCTGGTTCTAGTTTTATTACTTTAATTGCTGCAAGCTCACCCGTGTTGACATTTCGAGCCTATAAAAAAACAACAAAGGAGTATTTAGAAAGCAGAATGCAGCACCCACCTCTGCATTCTTGACTTGATGTTCTCTGACAGCAGTAGTCAAAGAGCAACTGAGGTACACAAGGGTTTAACACAGTGGAACCACTTGTGAGGGAATACTAAACGGTTTGTACTGAGAGCTGAAGCTTAAAGTCTGCTCAGGAAACTACAATGCCACACAACACTTCAGTTATGCAAGTCCTTAACCACACCGTGCTTCTGTATTAAAACCCATAAACAAACCAACACTGAGAGACCGAAAAGCAGGCGTAACACACGCGGGTGTCTCAGAAGACAAGGGGATCCAGAGGACACCAAGGGTTGTGCTCTGCAGCGTGTGGGACCACTTGCAAGACTCCCAGATGAGCAATGCAAAGCTTCCCCATTTTGCTACGTGCAAGGCTCCTTGAACCTTAATCTCCAACAACAACAGCAGTTTCCCCTTACTGCAAAGGGCTCAAAAAAGCAAGGCAGCAACAAAGGAGTTAGGGAGCATTCCCCTCAAAACATTCCCTTCAGACACACAACAGACAACTGCAGCAGCAATGACTCAGGAGCTTCACTGCATTTTTACATATGGAATATCCTGAACTGAAAGGGATCCACAAGGATCATCAGTTCCTAAGTGAATGGCCCATAGAGGGATAAAACCCACAATCCTGATGCCATTAGCACCATACTCTTACCAACAGAGCTCTGTCCTGCTAAGGCCTCAGTTCTACTGAGCAATCAAGGAAGCCACATGTTTTAAAAGCCATTAAGAAGCAACATAAATTACTATAAAAATTATTTCTCTTCTACAACTGTACCATTTGACTTCTAAATGAAAACCAAGAAGCTGTTTGCCCAGGGCTTCCAGAGCATTTCTGTGCCCCTGCACCCAACCATGGAGAGAAGGCAGCAAAGCTGCTTCCCAGCACTCAAGCAGCAGCAGCTCCTGAGGGATGCCCAGGTACAGCCTCTTCTCACCCCAAGGGAGGCTTGGTACCTGTAGGAATACAGAATGCAGTGCTCACACAGGGCTCAGAGCTGGCTTTTGCAAAGGCCAAAATTACAGAACTTAAAACATGCAGCCAGGACCCACCGTATAAGCTGCTAAAAGTCTCATTTAAGTCACTTTAGGAAGTCAGGAATTCAGACCTTTATGGACACACCAAATATGTACAAGGTTTGTTACATGGCAGCTTGGGACCTTGTTGTGGAACCAAAAGTGAAGGAGAAAATACCCCTAAGACTATAAAAAGTAAACAAGAATAAAGTCTGGAGAAAAATGCAGAGGGTATTCTTGTGTTTAGAGATTTACTCAGCTCACGCCTTGGACAGCTGATCTCAAACCTCTCACTATTCTTTGGTGTGGCAACACTGATGCAATGCTGGGAGCACTGGCATTTCCAAATAATTTGCAGGCAGACATATTCCGAGTGGGAATCCTACGAAAATCAAGGAATAGTCCAAACCTGACTGACGGTAGAAAAAATATAGTTAAATATTTTTTTTCTGGCAGTCTTCCCTGACATTATTTATCCATCCCACCAATGGCAGCAATGTCTCCATCCATCACTGGAGGAAAAAAGATGCACAGACATCTCAGAACAGCAAAAACATGAGTTCCTTTTATCTGGACCAAAGAATAAAGGCAACACGTGAGAAAGTGCCACCACTGAAGCATGAGCTAGAATTTTTACTCTTTATTTCTTTACCCAACATATTCTCTTCATAGCAAGAAACAAACAGAAGCAAAATGTTCATTAAACAAACATCGTCATTTTTTGACCTCCAAGACAAACAAGAAAAGCTACTGAAGCTTTAACAAAAACCTGTGATCATCAGGGAGTCTTATTAACTCTCATAGACTTGTTTTAGGGCAACTTGTATTATTAAAATGTTCAATGAGATACAACTGTAGTGGATGTAAGTGAGAAGATCCTGAACTTACACACTGTTGGGGGTTGAATGCTTTGCTTTTCTTTCTGTGGAATTTCTCCCATTGTTATGCTAAGTAATTGTGGCTACACCTTAAAACGACAGATAATGTTCTCTCGTAGGGGGGTGGCTGGAGGG